CAATTCAAGACAACTGTACGTAGATGTTTTGTAGATTTTTGGAATCGGGTGGTAATGGGTTGGTATGATGCGGATTGGTGGTAGGGCATCAACACATGCATGGATGTATGGTTTGCAGTGCGAGTTGCCAATGGCCTGTTTGACAATCCCCTCAGATACCATTAGTGTCTAACATATACTCAAGTATCTTGGTTATTTTGTTTCATCTTGAGAACACTTCCTCTCCCTCTGGTATATATTTTTAGGCCTGTGTTTGCCCTTTGGTGATTGGTAGTGAGAAATGAATCTCCGTGTCGCCACACCCGGAGGACTGCGCGATTCCTACTGCTTTTACCATTCACAGCTGATGATAGCTTCTGGTCATTTGCTTTCTGCTTGTGAGTTGGCTCGGCCAGTTGAGGGCTATTGTTGGTGTCACCGATTCACCTTGAGCCATTTTCAAACTGCGCGAGTTATCGATGTGGCTTGGTTAATGATGACTCGGTGCTGGTTGCGTGCGATGTACAGGAGGACAACGGATTGCCTGTGCACTTGAAGGGCGGTGTCAGGGATGCCGTGCTCTACCGGGTCACCATGACCCTCACCGTCCTGGGTGAGTCAGACACTCAATCTCATTTTTGTTATTATGCTTGATAAGCCCAGGAAAGCCTCACTTTGTCTCGAGACTCTTTTTAGGAGGGTCCTGCTGAGTTTTCACAGTAGGGGTGATGTTGCTGCTGCTTGGAATCCCAATCGAATACTTTGCCCGTAATCTTTCAGCATTGGGATATTTGTCCAATACAGTTAAAAAAATGTTTGCTATGGGGGATGTATGTCCCCCCCTGTTATACCCACGTTTGACAGGAGGAGTACATACAATCAACACACAGACACCCAAGTTGGTGTCTCAAAGATAGAATTGTGCTGTAAGAATGGTGTCTGATTTGTTGGTGTTATTATGTATTGTGAAAGGGAATTCTGATGTGTTTTTTTGTTCCGGATTGTGTGTTGTCTGCAGGTACGGGCATTATGGCGTACCAGTTGTTCCAGGCTGCGATGCCACAAAACAAGTAGTCAAGATTCTTCGCAGTGTTGGGATGATCGATACAATGCAAGATGCCGTGGCATTCAAATTTAACGAGTATATACCATTAACTATACACAGGCTGCTGGGCATCACGTATACACTTACAAGTGCACACATCGTCTTGTCCTGCCATTTACATCAACATCTGTTCCTCCAGCAAAGTTGTTCATATCAGCCAGAGTTTGATTACAACAGGTACATGTATTAGTTATGACATATACAGGCATGGCAACAAGCATTTCACTAACTTGTCATCCTAACACTTATTGTGGACCACGTGTAATGCAACTGTAGATTGTTTCAGGGCATATTCATGTTTTATTTTGCCTGTACTTGTTTAAAATGTTTGTGAGAGATGAAACTGTCGAGGGATACAATATCTGGAAATGATGTTCAATATTGCGGTTTTGCTTGTTTTAAGCTCTCCACAAAACACTGTTTCACTGAAATGTGTGCGGTCGTTAAGTGGTCCAATAAAATGTTTAATTTAATCATAACGCCCCAGACTAGTTTTATTTTCCCATACTACATTTTGATTCGTAGAAAACATGAAATATCCAGCCCCTGTTACAGATGTCATTTTTGTGTGACCAACTTAAAACAATAAAACATCCAGTCTTGAACCTGCAATGACATTTTAATTCGGGTGTAACGATTATTTTATTTGATTACATTGGTGCAGAAGTAAAATAATGATAGGTGTATGCTTTTATGTTGGAAATGCATTTCAGTAAATATGGGAGTGAATACTATAGTCCAGTAAGACAGTTCATCTGATGTCGATTCAAGTACAGTGGATGGGAATAACTGACCATTTGGGTCACAGCAGCCTTTTAACAATCGATAGTTCTGCAGCATGAAGATCATTTGCCATGAAATTTAACCAAAATAGAAACAATTTGGTAAATACAGTATAAAGGCCAATCAGTATGTTCCCTCAATCACAGTGTTCTGCAATTGTGATGCACAAAATGTAGGGATATGCTTAACCACATACAGGAAAGGACTGGTACAAAGGATGCATATAGAATACGGCAGTGGGGTGTTGCTGCTCAGGAAAGATGGTGCTTGTGTTGTTGAAATGGAAATTTTACAGCGCTGTCCATTGCAGAGTGTTACCAGACCCCACGTCCATCACCTGAGCACGATAACATTACTTGCACTTCACATACTCTGAACAAACGACACACGACTGCATTAGAACAAATAACAGTTTCTTTTTTCCAATAAATCAAGATACCTAATTTAAATATTTGTAATAAACATCACTCCTGAAATTAATCTACAGTATTGTATTAAGTTTCTGATGTGTATTGAAGGTAAATCGAAGCATTTAAAAAAACTAAGCTCCATGTCAGTTGTGGCAAAACTAACAGTTGGGGGAAGTGGCCACAGAGCGAACACATTGCAGGTGCAGCACCGTCTCCACATGCGTCAACGCCACCTGCACCACTGCAGCAGCAGGGCTTGGCTATCTCAGCAGGTCAAGCCGCTCATCGGTCGAATCGATGGACAATTGTAGCCAGAGTTCGGCAGACCCTGGCATGCGACTGCAGTGTCCTCCCTAGAGATTGATCAGGGCACTACTCGATGCCTTTGAGGGCACCTGCTGCGAGATTTTTGGATGGGTGACCACACCAATATGGACAAATTGCCTCATGACCTGCAAGGCATGGGAAGGCTCCCATCCAGAATTGGACGGACAAAAGGCAGCCGGGCAGCTAAGCTCTGGGAATAGTTGGGAGACGACAGGTGAGGATCCTGAGTGAAGTAAAGTGCAGCTGGGCAGGTGCATTGTGGTCTTGAAGACTGGATTAAAATGAACCATCGGAGCGGTTAACTCTTTTCCTCGGGCCCAAATAAAAACGATGCATCTAAAATGTGTCAAGTCCTGGAAGTTAAAATGTAAGAGAATTTTTTAAACATTCAAGGCGTATACGGTGTCCTAATGAGTGTCATGCTGTGGGCATGGCAGCTGTTGTCGGGATTGTTACCATCGCTCCTCCTGCATCAGATGCCAGGAGGACAACCCCCATGCAATATGGCCCCCCATGCAACGTGGCCGGCATGACGTTCTCGCACTGCGCTTCAGCCAGTTTGTGGCTGGGTTCAGTATTTGTACTCAGTGTTCATTTTGTTCGTTACAGTATTTATGTTTTTAACACCAATTTCGTCTGCTGATGTGTTATCAGTTCATGTTTTACATTTGCAATCGATTTATAAGGGGTCCTGACCACTCTGAATATCTGCTAACTTTACCATGTTTAATTGTGTTAACGCCCTTATTGAATAGGAGTTAATAGAAGTCTTATCTCTAACATCAATTAAATAATTCTGTACTCAGCCCCCAGGTTCGTAATCCCATGTTTGGTGAGCAGATGACAATGCCTACTTAGAATTCCATCTTACTTGGCGTGGGAGTGTAGCTATACGCTCTAAGTCAGAATTGGACACTGGAGATGTGCCAGTTGAGCAATAAACGTTCGGCTAAGGAATCTAATGCGTACATACGAGTAGCAGGCGAATTGTTCACTCAGCTATTTTATAATTCCTCATCAATTTGGATTGTGGCATCGGAAAAGCGTGCAGAAGGGTGACAGAGAATGGGGAGGCCCTCACCCAGCAGTAAATAGAATGGGGAGGCCGGCTTCCAGCAGTGGAGATAATGGGGGAGATAATGGGGAGGCCGTCATTCAGCAGTGGAGAGAATGGGGAGGCCGGCATCCAGCAGTGGAGATAATGGGGAGCCGTCATCCAGCAGTGGAGATAATGGGGAGCCGTCATCCAGCAGTGGAGATAATGGGGAGGTCGTCATCCAGCAGTGGAGATAATGGGGAGGCCGTCATCCAGCAAAGGAGATAATGGGGAGGCCGTCATCCAGCAGTGGAGATAATGGGGAGCCGTCATCCAGCAGTGGAGATAATGGGGAGCCGTCATCCAGCAGTGGAGATAATGGGGAGCCGTCATCCAGCAGTGGAGATAATGGGGGAGATAATGGAGAGGTCGTCATCCAGCAGTAGAGATAATGGGGAGGCCGTCATCCAGCAATGGAGATAATGGGGAGGCCGTCATCCAGCAGTGGAGATAATGGCGAGGCCGTCATCCAGCAGTGGATAGAATGGGGAGGTCGTCATCCAGCAGTGGATAGAATGGGGAGGTCGTCATCCAGCAGTGGATAGAATGGGGAGGTCGTCATCCAGCAGTGGAGATAATGGGGAGGTCGTCATCCAACAGTGGAGATAATCGGGAGGTCGTCATCCAGCAGTGGAGAGAATGGGGAGGTCGTCATCCAGCAGTGGAGAGAATGGGGAGGTCGTCATCCAGCAGTGGAGAGAATGGGGAGGTCGTTATCCAGCAGTGGAGATAATGGGGAGGTCGTTATCCAGCAGTGGAGATAATGGTGAGGCCCTCATCCAGCAGTGGAGATAATGGGGAGGTCGTCATCCAGCAGTGGATAGAATTGTGAGGCCCTCATCCAGCAGTGGAGAGAATGGTGAGGCCCTCATCCAGCAGTGGAGAGAATGTGGAGGTCGTCATCCAGCAGTGGAGAGAATGGTGAGGCCGTCATCCAGCAGTGGAGATAATGGGGAGGTCGTAATCCAGCAGTGGAGATAATGGTGAGGCCGTCATCCAGCAGTGGAGATAATGGTGAGGTCGTCATCCAGCAGTGGAGAGAATGTGGAGGCCCTCATCCAGCAGTGGAGAGAATGTGGAGGCCGTCATCCAGCAGTGGAGAGAATGTGGAGGCCGTCATCCAGCAGTGGAGAGTCGTTGAGTTTCCCTCAGCTTTCTACAGTAGCAGGGTTTTCACGATTTACGCCCAAACGATTCATAATATCGTCGCTAATTTTTCTCTAAACGATCCGCGAATCGATCCGGGTTTACGTCGCGTCGCTGAGACGCGGAAACTACGCGTCGGCAAGACGCGCGGATCGAAAAAAAAACGATTCCGCACGCGCGATCCGATGCGCATATCGCAGGACAGAGAATCGACGAAGCTGTTCCGCTAATCTCCGTGGTGGAGGTGCGGGGTTTCGACGACGCGTGGGGCTCATCGGCACCGCGCCTCCACTCTCCTCGCTCATCAGCAGCGCGCCTCCACTCTCCTCGCTCATCGGCACCGCGCCTCCACTCTCCTCGCCCATCAGCAGCGCCCCTCCACTCTCCTTGCTCATCAGCAGCGCGCCTCCACTCTCCTCGCTCATCGGCACCGCGCCTCCACTCTCCTCGCTCATCAGCAGCGCGCCTCCACTCTCCTCGCTCATCGGCACCGCGCCTCCACTCTCCTCGCTCATCGGCAGCGCCCCTCCACCTCTCCTCGCTCATCAGCAGCGCCCCTCCACCTCTCCTCGCTCATCAGCAGCGCGCCTCCACTCTCCTCGCTCATCAGCAGCGCGCCTCCACTCTCCTCGCTCATCAGCACGGCGGCGCCGCCACCTCTCCCAGGCTGTGCGCGTCTCGCCGAGCCAGGTGCGTCCCGCACGGCCGCGAGTGCGGCACCCTCCATACGCGTGAACACAACACACTGCCCCGTGAACACAATGAACACGGCACTGGGTGAGTTTCGCATGTGCGCAGGTTCACACGTGTATCACATCCGATGTACAGGTGCGAGTTCTCACTGCCAGCAATCCCCCGGGTGACATTCCCCCCCCCATCCCACACTCGAGTTATCCGACAGCTCCAGCCGATCAAAACGTAATCCCGGTGCGTTCTTCCTCTTGTCTTAATTTGCGGATAAGAGGGAGAGATGTGTGTAGAGTACCTGGGGCAGCTTTTGAAGGCAGACCGTGATCAAACCGATACAATAATGTTGCAATATTTGAGGACAAAGGAGTGGTAGCCCAAAGAGAACATGCGCCCTAGAGCCCATCCACCACGGAGACGGAGTAATGAACCCCGCTTGTGTGCAGCTGCTAGATGGATTATTTTGTCACAAGATCTTGGGAGAATGACCGCTTGGGAAGGCGTTCGTCAAATGGTGGAGAGATCTCGACTAATGACAATGCCTTAAGTAAGCCAGGTGACTGCGAGGTGATGGCGGCTGGTGTGATTGGCTGTACGTGCCCTGCTGCTGTGCATTTCTTTAATACCGGGGCAGTGCCTGCATGTTTACAGGTGGTGGTGCTCTTGAGCAACTCGGTGGATGGTGTTTATGTGGATCGCAAGAGGCCACTCGCTACCTGGAAGGTGTTAGCAGGGTTTTAGGTAACTCATAAATGCGGAGGTTGTGGGGGCACTGCTTTACAAAGCGAGATCGGGCACGTTAATACCAAAACCTGGTCTTAATGATTTTCATTTGGTTAGTTGAATTGTGTTTCCACAATTGACAGGAATGTACAGTGTAGCAGCAAATCAGTCTATCTTGATCGAGAACATATTCTCTATGCAAACATATAATTTAAATCGCCAAGATGGTGTGCTAGGCCTGCTGTGGTGGGCTCGACGTACAAGAGAAAGATTAGTGAGTCTGGTGGTTTCTACGACATGTAAGGGGGACGTTATGATATAAATATTTGAACGGTTATTGACGATCAGTGTTCTCTTCTCCAAGGCTGAAGCATGGCGACAGACTCGTCGTCAGACCTCCCTACGTGGTGGAAGGGGCAGGGCATCAGTGCGGAGGTGGCCCAGGCCATGGACACGGAGCTGGGGATCCGCGACTACGGGACGCTGCGCGCGTGCGCCGACGACGGGCAAGTCGGGCAAGAGGTGCTGGCCACGGCACGCGACCGCCTGCCCTTCGGTTTCTACGCCGTCCTGCGCCAGGTGCTGAGAACCATGCAAAGCGCCGGCGCCATCAGGGCACGGTCGGACGCGTCCTCGCCCAGAGTGGACACGGCGTTGGGAAGCCTGCTCGATGTGCTGGTCACTCTGCTGAGCACGCTGAGTCAGGAGCTCCTGCTGACCGAGAAGAGGCTGAGCGCCATGGGCAGCGGGATGCCCTCCGACAGCGAGTCTCAGGACACAGCAGCGGCACGTTCAGAAGATATTTGTGGAGAACATCCTTGCCTTACAGAAACTCAGCGTTCAAGTGAAGGTCAGTCCTGTACTCGAGTACAAATGAAAACATTCTTTTCCATGGTTTTGCTCCTAACTTGTTATCACAGGAGTAGGGCAGGCCTTCCCCAGAAATTCATATTTTTGCTTGGCCCGAATTCTAGAGTAGAATTTAGGCCTGCCATAGAAAGGAAACCATCCAGAATTGAGGCTTCTGCCTGAATTGGGATACAACTTGTGCTCTCAACATGGAGAGTTATGGGGGGGGGGGGGGGGGTGGGACTCGATTCTGACACTCACAGAACCAGAATATGCTTTCTTTGCAACATCTTGCATCCTTGTTCTTTGGTTTGTGACTTTAACGTTCACGCTAATATTTAGTCATTGTTTATGTTCTGCTACAGGGGTATGGCATGGAATTGTGCACTGTGTTTTCAGTGGCCGGGTCCTTCCCTGCAGTTTATATGTCGGTGTTGTCTTTAACTAAATAGGCCCCGACGCCGGCAACCTCGAAGAGCCGAGCGCAGACTTCCCCAAGTGGCTCAAGACGCAGGGTGTGAGCACCGAGGAGGCCGTTGGCTCTGAGCCGCACGAGAGCAGGGCCGGCGATGGCCGTGGGGTTACGGTGGAGCCGCAGGGCACGGCGAGCGAGCGCCCGCCCTCGCGGCTTCACGCCGCGCTGCAGCAGCTCGCGCAGGCCGCGCGCGGCACCGGGAATGACGACGACGGCGAGGGAACGCAATCGGACGCTACGGTGCCGCGGACCGACGCGGACCTGGGCAGCCTCCTCGACGCGCTCGTCGCTCTGCTGAGCAGAGTGAACCATGAGCTACTGCTCTCCGCGCAGAAGCTGGGCACCATTGATCTCTGTGCGGCGTCCTCTGCGTGTGCCCCACTTGCCACTGCTGTCGTCACTCCCAAGGGCTCTACGGGCGAAGGTGACCGACGATCACCAATAACGTGTGTCCTGGAAAGTGTTGATAAATTTACGTAAATCAAGTGCATCATTGGCGTCATTGTGGAGCATATAAATAACATTGATAATCAGACAATACATATCCGTGGATCCATCTATTTTTATATACAACCCATCCACCCCAAGACCTTCAGGGAGCGCATCATCTCAGCAGCACTGATTCAGTCCAAGCTGTCAGGTATTTCTTTAGAACACCCCACAATTGCTTCAAATGTTTATCCAGGTGACCAGGAGCGGTTATTGCAGGACATTTAAACTTTTATAAATGTGTACCTCTTGAATTTTATGTAAGACCACTGATGAATACCTTTTTTCATGGGTCCTTATGTTTAGAACTCAGCTATTCATCTTGCGGGGCGAGTGGCAGCACAGTGGTTAGCGCATTGCACTTGTTGATGTTTATTTTGATTCCTGTCCTTGGCTAATGTCAGTGAGTGATATCTGAACTGATCTTGGGCTTCAACTTCAAGCATCATTGACCAGTGTGGTGAAATATGGTAAAACCCCCATGACTGGCATTGGCGAGGGGAGGTCTTCATCCAGCAGTAGATTAACAAAGGGCTGAAAATAATAATTACTTTTCTTCTTACAATATATCCATCTTTAAAACTTGTTCCATGTGCAAACAAATGTTGAATTTATATTGAGTAGAAATAACTTAACAGGAAGCACACTAATCTGATTCGGTTGCGTGCATAACTCACTCTTATAATGTTCACATGCCTAACTACACTAACCAAGTCATTTGCCAACTTGATGCAAAATAACTGATGACACAAATAGGTTTTGCTTGGAATCCTATTTTGAAATATGTTTGTACATCTGGCAAACATGCGATATTTAAATATTATTGGATGCCCCCCAGTACAGCAGCTCTGGTTGCAGAATCAGGTCACCGGCTGGGGAGGTGAAGGAGCAGGGGACCAAGTTCCACATTGATTTTGTGTAACCAGGTGAGCACTCAAGAGACCAGGATAGGCATCTCATTTGCAAGAGTGACCTGGGTCACCAAAGTGACAAAAGAAAACACAAAAACAAAGTACAACAATAAAGTAGCGCAATCAGAACAAAAACATAATAACTATTATATTCCCTGCAGCTCAAATCGGCTCAGCCAGATCACTTCCAGATTGATAACAACACAAATTATAAACTAAGCTACAGAAATATATGACATGAATAGGTTGACTAGTACTGGGTCCTCAGAATCACTGGGTAGGGACAGGATGCCCTATGGATGTTACTGTTGCTGCATACATCCCATGGTCTCCTTGTTGGACTGCACACAGAACTCGGATAAATAAATTGTAGCATAGTTAGACTCAGCAGTGGAGAAAGGAGGAAAATCCATGTGTTTAAATAGTGGCTGCCTTTTCTACAATGGAGGGAACATTGATGTTGGAGAAATGGGATTGTGAGTCCCTGTGGAAATGAGACAATGTTATTTAAAGTACTCCAGAGAAAGTGGCTCGGAGTCTGTGTGGAATTCCCGCAGAGCAAAAAATATTTGCGTTTAAACAAATTCCTACTGCGTTTGAACTGCTTTAGTTAATATTGTAGTGAATCGTTATACTGATCCAGATCGTGTAAACTATGATTTTTGATTTGAAGCTTTCGTGACTGCAGTAATCCATACTCTTTGGTTCTTTCGGTAAAGTCACGTAGGTAGAAAAGAAAAAAAAAATATCACGACGTTTCGATCACAACACAAGCGGTCGTCTTCAGGCGGAAAAAATAATCCAGCAGTGGAACTGCGGAACCAGGAAGAACACAGTGAGAGAGCTGTTTACAACAAGAGGTTATATATGTGGCGGAGAGCAAGCAGGCGGGGTCTGAGCTGGAAAGGAATTACATCCCCGCACGCAAGCACTGTCAGTTGTGTTAATGGGGGAGATTAGGGAGAGAGCGATTAGGCAGAGAGATTAGGGGGATTAGCAAGTTAATGTCATGTCTATGTGTAACACCGCATGTGTTGCGATCGAAACGTCGTGATATATTTGATTATTATTTTATTTTTCTACCTACGTGACTTTACCGAAAGAACCAAAGAGTATAAACTACATTTGTTTTGCTCTTTTCTCCAAAAAAAAGAGTGACTGGGACTAAACTCTCGCAAGTGCAGAAAACAGACCAAGTTGTAGAGGGGAGTGACAAATTCTTGGCAGTGAGACTTCAAGTAATTTAACTTAATCAGTTTATAAACAATTGTATATATACCTGGTCCTGGGGTCCCTCTACACCAACCTGCACTCAACAGCGTGGTGAAGTAATGTCCAAACAAGCCTCATTCCGACACTGGGGAGGGGAGGCCTTCACCCACCAGTGCATTGACAACGAGTTGTATTTTGTGTAAGTTAATTTACCCTGGAAAAGCTCGCCAAGTCTCAAGACAAATTTAAAGAGTGTTCTAGATTGGAGTGTTTGGACACTCGGTGAGTGTTTTGCATGTGGGACAGAACCCATACGTACAATGGGACATCACTTAGAAATACAGCTTGGTCACAGCTGCTCTACCGGCCACCCCATTGTGAGCGCCTCTTGGTGTCGTGTTTGTCGTGGCAGGCAATCACGGTGGGGCACTCGTGGAGCCAAGCCCGGACTTCCCCGCTTGGCTCAATGCACAGGGTGTGACCACCGAGGAGGCCGTGGTCTCCGAGCCGCGGGAGCGTGGGGCCGGCGATGACCACGGGGTTGCGGTGGAGCCGCTGGGCCCGGCGTGCGAGCACCCGCCCTCGCAGTTTCACGCCACGCTGCAGCAGCTCGCCCAGGTCGCGCGTGTGGCGCCGGGAAAGACGGATCCGGCGCTGGGCAGCCTGCTCGCCGTGCTCGTGTCGCTGCTGGGCAGGCTGAGTAACGAGCTCGCGCTGTCCGTACAGAAACTGTGCTCCATAGAGGGGGCGGCGAGCGGAGAGGCCCAAGGCTGCGCTCCAAGGACTGATGATCCCGAGAGAAATCAACACCAAGACCTTCAGCTCAGAGAGCCACCCGACACGGACGGATACTCAAGTCAGTTTCCGCAGCTCGTCGCGTTGATCCCATGCCCCCACGCGTCTTGTTATTGGCCTTCAGGAAAACTTAGACTGCTGATTTTTACGTTTGTTTTCATTTAACTTGGCAAGTCCTTTGTCATAATGTCCTGCAGCTGCTGCTGCCTTTACTGATTGTTGCAGGAGCAGTTGTGCCACTTCATTCACTTAGCTCAAGGGCACCACGTTATCATGGCTTTCCATGCCCCTCCACCAGATCCCGCAACCGTTGTACAGGTGGCGCCACACCTCCAGTTTATATTGCACCTATACGTGATACACGACCTACTGCAGAGTCTGCGTTTAGTCCAATCACCACGCTGTATTTAGGTCTTCCGTTGGTCGCCGAGTTCTGGGTGCCACGCCATTGCCCGTCTCGGCAATCTGACCACCTCCAGCCTGCACGTCGTCCGTCGTTTCCTCTTACTGACGATACCTACAATGCATTCTTGCCACAACCCATTTCAAACTTGCAAGTCCATTAAATATCTAGCATCCACCCCATGCGACAGGCAATGTTGACATCATTTTGCGTGTTGGAAAACTACATTGCAGAGCACAGATTGCGCCACTGTGTTCATCCCATGCTCACCCCGTGCTCACCCCGTGCTCACCCCGTGCTCACCCCGCGCTCACCCCGTGCTCACGAGGGTCAGCAGATACCTGGGTGTCATTCTGCCTGCAGATATCTCGATCTCAACCAAGGCTGCTGTTAAAGTCCCCTGTTGGTTTCACTCAGCGGGAAGTCACTTCTCCTCTGCCCATAGTCTGGAATTGCTTTCCTCCTGCCGTCCGTGCTGTTGACTTCCTGTCCCTATTCAAGTTCAGGCTCAAGACCTTCCTTTTTCCTCTGTAAAACATGCCCACTGTTTCTACACAGCACTTTTAGACACTACATTAATCCAAATTTTGTGACTGGGAATGGAATGATGAGTCCCTGGTCTCAAAAACAGTAAACATTTCCCTCTGTTACTGATTATAATTTTTTTTTATTAAGTTACACGAATTGTATTAACTGGTTACATCTTTAGCTGTTATATTACAGTACAAGTCTCACATTTATAAATGGTTTCCTACATAAACTTACAGTTAATGTAGGTGTTTAGTGACTTCGATACAATCTTGATGAAAAATATATTTAATATTTACGGGTAGCTTTGCCATTAGTGCCATCACTGATGTGATGTTAGTTGTGCTGCTTGGTGGCACGTGCTGCGTATGCTTGGCTCAGCCACTGCAACACGCAGTTACACTTTGCATTATTGCTCATCCATAGCAACGAGAAAGATATGGCAGTCTTGGGTGATTTTTTTAATCTCCGTACGAGGGAGCCGCGGATGTAGGTGATTGGGGGTTGTAAAGGTAACAAAGACCGTGATCTTGTGAAAGCCGAGGGAATGGCAGCGCTACTCGATGGTTTACTGTGGTGGTGCAAAGGCGAAGCAGTGTCACATGAGACCTGTGGCACGGTTTGATGATAAACCTGGTCTTGGAAAACACGCTCAGGCATTTCATGCCTCTTCTTGGGACCAATCGCCTCATCTGCTGAGACACCCTTGTCTTGTCAGGAGATGGTCCACAGGACATAATGAAAAAAACAAATGGCTGGTCATGCGACTCACTTATTACTAATCAGCTGGCAACAAAAAATGGGGTATATTTTTATATTCATTGGAACTATAATAACATTGGACATGTGTGTCCTTGGGTCAACTCGCATGGAAGGGCTGAGTAAAGTGTGCACGTCATTTTCTTTTGGACTCTCAGACTCTGAAAGTCTTTACAAACATGTTAACTTCGTTGGGAGTAACTTTCAAGGATGTGGTTGTGTGTGGTCTCTGTGCTCAGCCAGTGTCTGGCTGCCTGCTGCAGGACGTGCTGAGCACAATTGTTGCATTCTCTTTTTCTCTTTCACAGAAACAGCTGCGAGGTTTAAATGTTCCGAATGGCAGCCGTCAGTCCCGGAAGTGGAAGAGGAGTGGAGTCAGCCTTCTGGTAGGCTCCTAGAGTCGTGCATACTCACACCAACTTACTAAAAAATATATTGCGTGATGTTGAACACATGGTCTTTCATTGCATTTGATGATGCACTCTTTTATAACAGATGGCTATGTTGGAATTTCTAAAGAAGATTTTGTTAGAAAGAAAAGAAGAAGAGCCATGCACGAGCGGTGGCAGGGAGTTTCCGTGAAGGCTGAAACGAGTTTTTCAGGTAAGAGTGGCAGTGGGGGTGGTAATGATGATTGCCTTAATCATTCGCGCACAAGTGATACAGCCGCCCTCCTTTACGCTGGTGGAGTAAGCGACTTACATCTCCCATCTCAACACATTTTAAAGGGCACCCCAGCTTCAGCTGTCACTGTGGGCACAAGGTAATTTAGCACCTGGCCTGCAATCGGTCTTCCAGTCGGGGGCGATGATTGCGAAGTGTAATCCCATTGTGCCAGCAACTTAACAACTGTGTAATTTTAATAGCTCGACACTTTCCCCGTTGCGCAGGGCTTTGCCTGTAGTGCATTGTTAATGCACTACTAGCGTGACTAGAGAAGGCTTGCCACACAAAAGCATGCCGCATACCCCACTCACAGAGGATGGGGAGTTCACCTCCCCTACCCTTGCCAAATGTCGTGGTTTCCACTACAAGGGAAGGACTCGGAGCAAACCCTTCTTGTCTCACATTGGAAACAATTTAGATTGTTGATTTTTTTACATGTTTATATGTTGACTTTCAACACATTTTTCACCAAATCTGTGAAAAATCTGATTTTGGAGTCTGCAATGTCAACATGTGAGCAACATAAACGATAATTAATCTAGGCCTGTCATGTTTTCACCTTGAATTGGGGCTTCAGCAGAAGTCCTTGGTTGCTGGAGTGGAGCGTCTGTGGTGGCGGGGGGTGGGATAGAATGAGATGAGAGGGAGGAGGTAGGCAGCGACGAGCCCATGGATGACCTTTGAACACAGCGAGTGCGATCCTTCGAATTGGGATCCAGTGGAAGGATCGGAGTATTGGGGTAATGTGGTCTCGTTTACAGGTGCAGGTGAAAAGTCTGCCAGTGGCATTTTTGAGTCGTCTCAAGGGATTTGGGAAGGCTGTAGAGAAGAGAGTTGCAGGAGTCGAGGAGATGATGCGCAGGGTTGGGGTGTGTGGGAAGAGAATGAGAGAGCTCGGGGTCAATGACCACTCCATGTTTTGCACGTACTTTTCCAGTGTCGTGTCAGAGTTTAGGATGTACAGGCTCAAATTGGAGTTTTTACCATGAGTGGACTTTTTGCCGAGGCGTGCTTCAGTGTTGGCCACATTTAGCTGGAGGAAGTTACAACCCTTCCGAGACCACGTCAAGGCCGGATATGAGAGTGGACAGAGGCGGGGTTTATGGGGTCAGTGGTGATGCAGCGTTGCGTGTGCTCGGCATCGACGTGATGGTCGACATTAAAACCGGAGATTAATTTTGCCAAGTGGGAGATGTAATGAGAGGAGCAGGAGGCCGAGTTAAGACATTCGTGATGGTAATTTGTGTGGTGTTTAATAATGGTTCATGTATTCATTTCATGTCATCCCTCTTCTATGACAGATGCTACTGGCTTCCCTAAAGACAATTTCATCAGACAGAAAAGAAGGAAGACTACCCACAACAGGTGGAAAGAAGTGGAGGTTAAGACAGAAACTGGCTTTACAGGTGAGATAGTACTCATGTTGCATGGGCTGCCTTAAGTAAATTTTATAGTTTGAATTGATTAGAGTTTTTCAGATAATTTGCAATTTTATCTCCCAAACTCACGAAATGCACCTTGATACCAATCCCATGCGTGTGGGATTGGTATCAGGCGGCTCTTTACTTTGACGAATTCCACAAGGCCTTGGTGATTGAGAGGCAGTGCGCTTGCGAGAGTCGAACTGCTTTGTGTTTAGTTTGTAGTCCTTTCTCCGCACCTCCGATTAGCACGGTTGGCTACGTACAGTGCGAAAGAAGTTTAACAAACATACTAGTTATAGCTGTACTAGTTATAGCTGTAGGAAACACTTGTTGTGGGCTTTAGGATGAACACAGCTTGACTGCACCAGGGATTTAAATCAGTGTCAAAATATTTGGCGTCTCTTCAGTGTTTTGCCAGAGACATGAACAGCTGAATTTACTGGAATATCTACATTTCAGTTCATGCCGTGTGACCGGAGGGAGAAAACTAATGATCATAGACGACACAGCAGGATATCCCAGGTGACGTGGAGGGAGGGAAGTTCAGGAGCAACTTGGATTGTGGTATTGCAGGATTGTAAGGGATGGTGATGTGGGAAGGGCTTCATTCAGCAGTGGAAAGATTATGGCTGTGGATTTATTGTAAGGGATGTGTGTGTACTTTTGAAAGGATGATGTAACAAACCGTACTCTACTTTGTTTAATCGTGCCAAATGCTAACCCTATTCCCGCATGGCTGTGCTCCAGGGAAACCGTACGTGTGCGAGGAGTGTGGAAAAGGCTTCACCAAGATGTCCAACCTGAAGATGCATCAGAAGACGCACACTGGAGAGAGGCCGTACGTGTGTAAGGAATGCGGAAAGGCGTTCTCCAGGATCTCCCACCTACAGAGCCACCAGATGATCCACACGGGAGAGAGGCCGTACATGTGCGAGGAGTGCGGAAAGGGGTTTTCTCGCATCTCCACCCTGAAAACTCATCAGAGGACGCACACCGGCGAGAGGCCATTCGTGTGCCAGGAGTGTGGGAAAGCTTTCCAGGTTATTTCCAACTTAAAGATGCATCAGAGGACACACACTGGAGAGAAGCCCTATGTGTGCGAAGAGTGTGGGAAAGGGTTTTCCCAGTTTTGCCATTTGAAGACTCACCAGAAGACGCACCAGCAGACAGTCAAATGAGTTGCTGCGAGCATTAAATGTAGAGGGTTTCTAGTTTATTTATTTAATATCGTGATGCTCTGGAAGCAAATGAAAGAATGCTTATTTATTCCAATCTGAGCAAACTATTTTGTTTATGCGACTACATGCTATTGATGCATTTATCTATTTGTGTTCAGGTGAAGCCTTTTACATTTTAACAATGCTCGTAGAGTCGGTACAAATAATCTGGTGTGTAAGGCTCTAAAACTTGTGAATTGTGGGTTCCGTGACCCTACCATGGAAATTGACTGTGCAAGTGGCAGTCGTTCTGCACTAAGAGCGGTCCTCACGCAGGGGGGAGGGACCCCTCGGGAGCCCGCGTGACACAGGGTCGGTCCGCAGCTTCACAAGTAACACCACGCACGGGGGAGATGCACAACATCTGCAGTTAAGGTGTTTGCCCCACACAGGCTGGGTGGAACTCTGCTCCAGTAGCACTTTTTATGGCGTTCCACTCTTCTAAAGCAAGCTGAGACGTGTTACAAAACACAGCGCCGTTGTGGAGAACGTTAATACAATAAATAACGCCTCCTCCCACGTGTCTCTACATAAAATACACACAAGTAGTTTTTATTTCGATTTAAAGCTTTCGTGACTGCAGGGATTCATCTTCTTGGTTCTTTCGGTAAAGTCACGTAGAATGGAAATAAAATAATAAAAATAAAAAAAATTTCTTCCGACGTTTCGGCCACAACACAAGTAGCCTTCTTCAGGTGAAGAAACAGGACTGTCCGGAAGACAGCGCTTAAGTGAACACTGCCAAGCATGGACAGCGTCTTTTAAGCTGTGTAGGTGGAATTAACATGCATTCGCATGTTAATATGAAGGACAAGCTTCGGAACGGAGGAGGGGGGGTGGTAAAAAAAAGAAAACAGCCACGGTACGCTGCTCTGTCCTGTGTTGCGTTATAACTATGCTATAAACTTGACTACTATACAATACAATATTATACCTTCCAATCTAAACTACATGGTATAATATCATATCCATAGACAAATTCCACCTTTGAATTATACAATGCGTTACTATACACTACCCTATACTTTAGACTATAAAATATTAGACTTGTAATATTACACTGTCTTATTCTATCAACCCTACTGTATACCACACTGCTGTATATTCACTATACAATTACAATATAGAGTATCGTAATTGTATAGTGAATAATGAATATACAGCAGTGTGGTATACAGTAGGGTTGATAGAATAAGACGGTGTAATATTACAAGTCTAATATTTTACAGTCTAAAGTATAGGGTAGTGTATAGTAACGCATTGTATAATTCAAGGGTGGGATTTGTCTATGGATGGCATTATACCATGTAGTTTAGATTGGAAGGTATAATATTGTATTGTATAGTAGTCCAGTTTATAGCATAGTTATAACGCAACACAGGACAGAGCAGCGCACCGTGGCGGTTTTCTTTTTAACCCCCCCTCCTCCGTTCCAAAGCTTGTCCCTCATTAACATGCTAATTCATGTTAATTCCTCCTACACGGCTTAAAAGACGCTGTCCATGCTTGGCAGTGTTCACTCAAGCGCTGTCTTCTGGACAGTCCTGTTTCTTCACCTGAAGAAGGCTACTTGTGTTGTGGCCGAAACGTCGTGAGAATTTTATTTTATTGTTTTATTTTTTATTTTATTTCCATTCTACGTGACTTTACTGAAAGAACCAAGAAGATGAAGTAGTTTTTACACAACCTATCGGCTGCATAGCCTTCTGGGAGTACTTGAGACCGTGATGATTATGGTGACAACCAGAAGCACTTGATGTTATTAATGTGTGAACCACATTGTCACGGGATGAAAAAAACTGAAACTTAAGTATTCCCACCCACTTGTCTTCTACGAAAGAGAAGTCGCAGTTTTGTGCTGGTGAGAACTTTCAGGACAAACAGAAACTCTTCCTCACGCGCTCCTGGGACCTGCAGTGTTTCAGCAACGGTACCAACTGCATGTAACTATATAACGACCATTCCACAGTCGGACCAAACAGATGGGCAACTTGTCTGTACTGGTCTGTTCGGCAGTAGAATGAAGTTTGATACAGCAAATGCTCCTGCAAGAAACGTGCTGGCATTATTGCAGTTTATACAGTTGCTGCAATATAACCAGAATTTTATTGTTTTATATTAGGGACGTTATTTGTGTACATATAAGTGCACTGTTTTGCTAAATTAGAATTTTACAGTATGTGATTTGGCGTTTATATAACATCTGTGTGGTTACTAGATCCAACCATAATAAAAACTTGATGTATAGTTAATGAAGCATCGTGTGGTTATGCATCATTAGTTGGCTGTCGTCCCTAAACGGTGTCATAGGAGCCACAGACGCCGCCCTGCAAATACGTGCTCCAAATGCCCACGACCCGACAACACAAGCGGCTACGCGGTTTGCTTACGGAGTGAAAAAGTTAAACCTTACCCAAGGCTTGCGGGAGGATGGACACAGAATCGGCCATTCCCGCCATCTCAACCCTCGCATGGCCTGCAGCTTTATGCACCTGTGGGTTGTGCCATGTTTCCCATAGGCAGTCCGATTCAACGCCTCACTGAACCCGGCCTGCAGCGTCCACCAAATGACTTCAGATTGGTCGCCCACAGCTTTGAAATGAAGTGAGAAAATTAGTAATCTAATATTTAACAACACTTTCACAGTTATGTAAACAAGGAGAGCCCTGGGGAGTGAAGACTCCAGCCTGGTGTAGGGGTTGTACACAGCTTTCTCTTCATTACAGGCAAAGGGCAGGGCTATTCGGGTAGGTATCGTGTTCATGCTAATGTTAAATCCACGGGTCGTGTGAAAAGCAATATTTTTTTTAATCCCAAATGTCTCATCTACAACGAAACCTACGTGATAATTTAATTCTGGCTGTGTGGCTGCTACCACCACAGCAAGGCTATACGAGACTGCAATTATTTTGTTGACAAACCAGCGAATTACATTTTCCAGTTCGCCGTATATAGAGTAACAAAACCGTGTATTCATTTTATGAAATTTTTCAAACAAAACCTTACGCAGATCCGATTCCTGCCCTGGCCCTTCTCAACTCAATCCTTCCCGACCTTCTGACCTCAAAAGGGCATCTCAGTCACTCTCTTGGACCTTCTCATCTGTATGCAACACCCCCACACCAGCTCATGTGCCTTCACAATGATCATGACCTTCACAATGGTCTTCCTGAAATGGAAATGTGCCAAACACTCCATCTCCATCAGTCCTAATACCCCTGTGTCTCGTCAATGTGTGACAAACAGGCGCAAGTGCTGTGCAGTGTCAGAAGATCGGCCATGGAATATACTCTGAAACCAAGCATGACATGAGGCAATACATGCAGATTGCTTTAATTACATTGCAGAAATGATCATTACTTGTGTCATTACATTGTGGACATAATTGCACGACAAATTAAAAATAAGCTTGCAATAAAAATCTGATTATGTAAGGCAAATGTTATTCTTCTTCACAGGCTCCATCCCCCATCAATCACCATCTCGTTCCCAGTAACGTAGGCAGACTGCAGAAAAAATGAAATATGCATAATTAAACATAATCCGTACTGTGGTAACGCAGGCCTAAACCCACGCAGGGGTAGATACTGTTGGGTGTGCCCAGGACATCCCATTTCCTGGTGGCACTCGTGCGTGCGGGAATAATTGTGTTTTCGCTTCATCAGCCAATTACGTTGAATTGCGCTGATATGTGTCATGCCACGTGACAGCCTACCATATATACGTTTTACAGTGAGCAGTGTGACCACCCTGCGTTAGAAAACGGCCCTAGAAGACGACGTCACCACTACAGAAGGCCTCCTCGTCCAGGCTCAGGGTTGGGGGAGGGCCCAAAAGCTGGGTGGAGCACGAGGAAGTGCACATGATTTTTCAAATGTAGTTTTCTGAATGACATTTCACCAACGCTCTGTAAAATTTTACTTTTTGCACAAAATCAGTGTTCTAAGATTCTGACAGGCAGTGATGTAGCACGGGGAATGTTATAACATAACCAGTTTTTCACACAATATGCTGGCAAAGGCATGAAATACCCAAATAAATCAGAGCCACTGATGACTATAAATTGGCATTGCTGTTATAGTGATTTAAAGCAAGGGGAATGTTTAACTGCCAAGGTATTTTATTCGACTGCGTTTTAAAGTGATTGTACAATTGATCACATCGGATATACCTTGGAGTTACACTCGCTTGATCGTACCTCATCAGAAGCCAAATAGACACAGAGGTGAGCCACCTCCTCTGGCTTGGCGAGCCGTCCGCTCTTCTGCCTCGCCATGAAGTCCTGTCTCGCCTGCATCACATCCAACAACACGGCACGGACTCAGTCTGGGTCTCTGTGTCTCTCAACTTTAACTCAATAATGCGATCAACGTCTAGCCACGAGGCAGAGACGTTTCCATTCACAACTCTCCAAAGCACAGGTACAAAGGCCATTTTGTTACCATAAAGCTTTTAATTATGGTGAATATACTGTATACGTATAAACCAACTCATTCTCAAGAGCCTTCGTATCACCAACTATGCGACAGGCTAACATTAAACATCATTGGTCTTTGATTATACAAATTAGTGATGAAATAAAATTAAGGAATTCAGATTATAGTAGAGCACAAAATGAGGCATTACGCTTGTCATAAGCATGGTTTTATGGCTTCAGGGTGCAGGAGACAATGGTCCTTCAGTCATGGCCATGCACTTTCTGGCTGCGAGACAAACTCATGACAAGAGAACGGAATACATATTGAGCACAATCACAAATCATTCTTATTCGAAAATAAATCAATCTTGTTTACGAAATTAGATTTCATCCTATTTGTGAAGGATGCAGAAAAGCAAACCTAATTTCGATTGTGAGATTGAGATTCACTGGAGGTGCTCTGCCATTCCCCTGGTGGTACCGATGTACTCGACAGCGCCAGTGTGTCACTCCACCTAAGTGTCACTAGGTAACACTTAAACACAGCTGAGTTTCTAACCTTTTCTGGGTCAGGCTGGGCATTGATGCGCTCTTGCAGTGAAGGAGTGTCCACCGTGCCTGCAAAAGAACAACCCAACAACGCGTGTCACTCAATCCCATTACAAGACTCAAGCGGAACGACGTCTTCCAATTCAGCTGTTATTTCAAGTGAGGAAGAAGTAAACACGAGTGTGGCTATGTCACTTTTCTGACAAGATCGGTCAACTCGAACACTGAAGATTGTGTCTTACACAACACTCCGGGACAACAGCATTGAGGCAGCATGAAGGGAAGGTGAGCGTGAACCCTGTCATATGGAACGCTAGACTCATTGAAGTGAGGACATTTACAGTGAGGGAAAAAGTATTTGATCCCCTGCTGATTTTGTACGTTTGCCCACTGACAAAGAAATTATCAGTCTATAATTGTAATGGTAGGCTTATTTGAACAGTGAGAGACAGAATAACAACAAAAAAACCAGAAAAACGCATGTCAAAAATGTTATAAATTGATTTGCATTTTAATGAGGGAAATAAGTATTTGACCCCCTCTCAACCATAAAGATTTCTGGCTCCCAGGTGTCTTTTATACAGGTAACGAGTTGAGATTATGAGCACACTCTTAACGGGAGTGCTCCTAATCTCAGCTTGTTACCTGTATAAAAGACACCTGTCCACAGAAGCAATCAATCAATCAGATTCCAAACTCTCCACCATGGCCAAGACCAAAGAGCTCTCCAAGGATGTCAGGGACAAGATTGTAGACCTACACAAGGCTGGAATGGGCTACAAGACCATTGCCAAGCAGCTTGGTGAGAAGGTGACAACAGTTGGTGCGATTATTCACAAATGGAAGAAACACAAACGAACTGTCAATCTCCCTCGGCCTGGGGCTCCATGCAAGATTTCACCTCGTGGAGTTGCAATGATCATGAGAACGGTGAGGAATCAGCCCAGAACTACACGGGAGGATCTTGCCAATGATCTCAAGGCAGCTGGGACCATAGTCACCAAGAAAACAATTGGTAACACACTACGCCGTGAAGGACTGAAATCCTGCAGCACCCGCAAGGTCCCCCTGCTCAAGAAAGCACATATACATGCCCGTCTGAAGTTTGCCAATGAACATCTGAATGATTAAGAGGACAACTGGGTGAAAGTGTTGTGGTCAGATGAGACCAAAATGGAGCTCTTTGGCATCAACGCAACTCGCAGTGTTTGGAGGAGGAGGAATGCTGCCTATGACCCCAAGAACACCATCCCCACCGTCAAACATGGAGGTGGAAACATTATGCTTTGGGGGTGTTTCTCTGCTAAGGGGACAGGACAACTTCACCGCATCAAAGGGACGATGTACGGGGCCATGTACCGTCAAATCTTGGGTGAAAACCTCCTTCCTTCAGCCAGGGCATTGAAAATGGGTCGTGGATGGGTATTGTAGCATGACAATGACCCAAAACACACGGCCAAGGCAACAAAGGAGTGGCTCAAGAAGAAGCACATTAAGGTCCTGGAGTGGCCTAGCCTGTCTCCAGACCTTAATCCCATAGAAAATCTGTGGAGGAGATGATCTGCAAAGAGAAGATCTGCAAAGAGAAGGGGGACAAAATCCCTCCTGAGATGTGTGCAAACCTGGTGGCCAACTACAAAAAACGTCTGACCTCTGTGAATACCAACAAGGGTTTTGTCACCAAGTACTAAATCATGTTTTGCAGAGGGGTCAAATACTTATTTCCCTCATTAAAATGCAAATCAATTTATAACATTTTTGACATGCGTTTTTCTGGATTTTTTTGTTGTTATTCTGCCTCTCACTGTTCAAATAAACCTACCATTAAAATGATAGACTGATCATTTCTTTACTATTTGGTTCTATTGGGTAAAGTCACGTAGGTGAAAATTATTATTTGTGGAATTGGGTACCTACGTGACTTTACCCAATAGAACCAAAGAGTATGGATCCTAGCAGTCACGAAAGCTTTAAATCTAGAATTGATCATTTCTTTGTCAGTGGGCAAACGTACAAAATCAGCAGGGGATCAAATACTTTTTTGCCTCACTGTAGAATTACTTTGACAGCAAGGCCGTGATACAAGTAAAAAGACTCACAAGATCCAGGCAAAGGCCTAACCTGTCCTCAAGGGGGACTAAAAAAATGGCCTGGTCTTGTGAACGACGAGATTAGAACGCTGTCCAGAACGAACTTCACTCACCAGGACAGACAGCATTGCAGCGAATGCCTTCCGTTAAAAAGTCCGCAGCCACAGATTTTGTGAGTCCTATGATGGCCGCCTTCGAGGTGCTGTACACACAGCGGTTGGCCACCCCTGCGAGCACACAAACAAGGGCAAGTTGAACACCAAGCAGCCAGCAACCTTAAGAAGATCCACCACCACCCATAACCAGGAGTTCCTATCAATTGCAAGGCACTGCTCCACACTGGCCCACTTTTTAGAGAATTCAGTGTGAGTGTACATTTAAATGGGATATCTTACCCAATTCCACAAATAACAATATAGCACAGGAAACAAATTAACATGAATAAGTCTCATATTCTTAGCTCTTTCGGTAAAGTCACGTTGAAGGGAAACAATAAAATAATTAAATATATAAAAAACAATTAAAATTCTCACGACGTTTCGACCATAACACAAACGGTCGTCATCAGGTGTGTCGGTTTGCATACATTTATTTATTTTTAAACGGTGTATTTATAATAACAAAAAAAACGCCAGCGCCACTCGCAGCGATTTGGCAGTTTATTTAGAAGGACTAGTACATCTATGTTCTGAAAAGAGGAGGGGGGAGACGAAAAATTTCAACACATTACATAAAATCCGTGATCTGGTTCTGTCTGTAAAAGATGTGATTCCGGACATACAGTACCCTGGTGTCTACAAACTAAGTTGCCTCTGTGGTAGTAGTTACATTGGAGAAACCAAACGCCATGTCTCAGACCACATTCGTGAACACAAAGCAGACCTTAAACACGGTAGGACCAACACCTCTGCCGTGGCAGATCACTGTTACAATTCAGTGGGCTCACATGACATTGACTTTTCCAAGACAGAGGTTCTTTGTAAGCCATCTGGCTACCATGAGAGATTCGTTCATGAGGCTATCCACATATACAAGCACAGAGACAATTTCAACCGAGAAGATGGATTCTGGCTTAGCAATCATTGGAAAGATTTGATGAACCATTTCAGGTCTTAATTGATTGTTCACGCTTACAGTGGCATTCAGACAGCATACATTAATTTTTCGTCTCCCCCCTCCTCTTTTCAGAACATAGATGGACTAGTCCTTCTAAATAAACTGCCAAATGGCTGCGCGTGGCGCTGACGGTTTTTTTAAAATAAATAAATAAGTACACCGTTTAAAAATAAATACATTTATGCAAACCGACACACCTGATGACGACCGTTTGTGTTATGGTCGAAACGTCGTGAGAATTTTTATTGTTTTATATATATTTTATTATTTTATTGTTTCCCTTCAACGTGACTTTACCGAAAGAGCTAAGAATATGAATTACTGCAGTCACGAAAGCTTTAAATCAAAAATGAATAAGTCTCGGTCATTTATTCTCACCTTTGATGCTGGATGCCACAGATGCCATGTTGATGATGGAGCCCGACTTCTGAGCCAGCATCTGCATGAAAGGAACCAACATGGGTTCTGGGAAATTGGTCGATTGTTGAATCCATAACCGGAGGCCATGATCATAGGCAGCTGACAGCCTCTCCGTATGCCCTATACCCCTGACCTTGCAATAGCCGAGTGCCTCATCACACCGACCAGCCATCTCGAGATTCTTGGTGTCCTATCAGATTAGAGCCTGAGTTTCGACTTTCATATTTAGTCCATTGTCAGGATTTCCAATCACCAATGTTGGTCAAGGCACCAGTAAACACATCTGGGTAACTAGCTCACATCCACGTTCAATGTTCAGGGTACCTTGGGTAGGAACGCACGGATCATGTAGTACATCCCCTTAACGTTGAGGTTCATGGTGAAATCCCAGTCTTTGTCCTCGCAGTCCAAAATAGTTCCATGGTGGACAAACCTGTGCAGAGTACAATAAGAAATCAGCGCCTAATCAAACTGTGTGCTCCAGGGTGTTAAGAGTGGAATGGCTGCGTGTAGATGAATGGTTTACAAGTCGGCCAAGGACGATGCTGCACCTGGCTCGCAATCGGAAGGCTGCGAGAGTCAAAATCGTAGTCACGGCTTTCAGGGCCGTTTATCTGGTCAATTAAATGAGTGCCACTTTTTGGTAAGTCAACGGAGGTCGTCTTGGGTCACGCTGAATCTCTACCACTGATTCAAGGTGCCATCGCAGGCGAGTGCCGCCCAATTGGGCAGACAACTGTAAAACATCGTCCAATTGTTTTATGTTGCCATTGTGGGAGATTGTGTGTAACCAAGTAATAATCGACATTGATCTATTTCACCACGATTCTGATGAGACGTATTTTAAATCAGTCCAGAGAATTGTGGAGTTTCCACCACTTGTGCATTATGGCTAACTAGGATGAGGTTTCATTACAGTTTGAGCAGGGGACACATTTTGCCTCAGTATGGGTTATAAGGGGCAATCTGACTGCTTTTGTAAAAATCTATATAAAATTACATTTCGACAATTTTAACTATTACTGAGTTGATATGAGGTTTTATTAGAGACAAACACAAATTAAGTGCAAGCCTCGTGTTCATGAATATATTGGGAATCAGTGGAGTCTGGTTTATATCAGAACGTTCTTGGAATGCCCAGTGAAGGTCCAGTTAGAGTGTGACATATGCACGACGTTACGGGCTTGTTCTTGCATTGTCAGTACCCTGCACAGTTGAACAAGACGTCCACTTTGTCAATCTTGGCAGCGAGAGCCTCGATCTGATCCTTGCTCGTCACATTCAGGACTCCAACCTCTATGCCTGCACTTCGCCATATTCCAACGCAAAGAGGAACAATGCATTATCCATCTAATTTATAATTACTTTACAAATAACTCCCCATACAGTGCCAGCCAAGGGGATTGTCTGACCATACTTCACCATGCTAGTCAGTGTGGGCTGGGGAAAGGGGGGAGAATCCCATAAATTACCACTTTGTAGCAAGTGCACAGTGGTTGTCCTGTGGAGAGAATGGCTCAGTAGGATGTGTAATTTCCACCCGTGGCTCAGGTGCAGAGTTGAGCACCGCTCACCACCAACACAAGCAAGATGACGGCACTTTGAACGACTGGTTCTGTGTGTGGTTATGCACGTACGAAGGAATGCTAATTTTACTCATTAAACAAATCACATGGAATGTACCCGTATCTCATCAGATCTCAGAAATAGGACTGGACCTGGATAGTGCTGGGATGGGGGACCACCGTGCATAATAGGTGGCCAGCAGAAGGCAATACAGCAAAATCCTATTTTACTGTACTCCGTGCCTATGCTCCCCACCTATACGAACGTGAAGGATAAAGTATATTCAAACAATTCCCATGAGCTACAGAGTGCGGAGAGTCCCCCAGCCAGCAGTGGACTGACTAAAGGCTGTCCGTGCACACTTAAGTCCACATACGGTATGAGGACAGCGTAACAAAAAAAACACTTGGCACCTCCGCGTTTATTTATGAACCTCAAAGTGACAAGTCTACAATTTGCGCATGTGCGTACCTGGGATTTGCTCCAACTCCTTCAGGGCTTCCCCATTGATGTCTGTGGCAATCACCTTGGCCCCTTCTTTCGCAAATGCCTGTGGTGTTTTGCAAGCAGTGGGGGAAGCGGCCACATGCAGTGACATGTGCATCAGGAGATTGGCCGCATAAACTCCAAAGAGCACAACGATGCCCATCTTATTAGTAGAATAGCAATGAGTTGCAACTGGGCTTGCTGCAAGGTAAACCAGCATCTGCAATCTGCGGGTTTTACCGTCGGAGCAAGACAGAATCTTGAAACTGTAAAAACTGTCAACCGCAATAACCAGGGCCCTTGTGTAGGTGAGGTTGGTGGAGGAGGCAGGAGGTGAGAGACAAGATAAGATTGACGAGCAAGGAAGTGAAGATTTGGTCAGCCGTCCCCAGGCTATGGCGAATCGGGGCGATCGCCCCGGGCCCGCACTTTGGGGGGGGGGGGGGCGCTTCGACGTCACAGTACCAGATGTAATACTCCCGATTTAGTGTGAATGCGTCGGGGGGGGCCCACACAGTGGGATTTTCCACGGCCCCGCACTCCCCAACGGAAGACGCTGGATGTGGTCGAGGTTGTGATGGTTCCGGGGGGACCCGAGAGTGGGGAGTGAGTGGGGTCCATTGGATGAATGCGCGTGCAGTGAAGGCGCGCGCGTCTGCCGGGGCGGCACTCACGATGGCGCAGGCCCTGCCGATGCCCTGGCCCGCGGCCGTGAGGACCACCACCTTGCCGTCGAGCCGGCCCATTCTGTGGCGCCGCGTACACGCGGATGGAAAACAGTGACACGTCCGCGTTTCACCCCGGGGAGGTTGACGACACACAGGGCACACGACACTCCCCGTGCTCCCCAAGGCCAGTCAGCGTACGCTACTCTTAAGTGCCCAATCGTACGGGAAGGCCATTCGATATATGGCTAACATGCACTAAGTCGTACCGCAGAAAAATATTGAGTGTAACTTACCACTCTTTTATCACTCCACTGCTGGATTAAGACCTCCCCATGTCATGTGGATATTTGACCACACTTCACCATGCCCGTCAGTGCGGCCCAGTAAAGACGGTGCCCAGGGTCGGTTCAGATCTCACTGCCACTGGCGAAGCCATGGACAATCGTCGAACACAGCTCACTGGCACCAACCACTGCGTCACCGTTCCCCAAAAGTAATACATTTAATGTGTGATTATCGGCATTCTTAGGGGAAAAAAACCTCTTGTCTATGCGATTACATCTATCAAATAATGGATGACTGAGATACAATTAGACTTGAAGACACACAGCGTGTGACAATGCGAGCAGATTGTATGGAGCCTACAAAGGGAGAAGTTCCTCTCCGATAGCGTGGGTGCAGCGCGTGCGGTCTCTTGTGGCCGAATAGCATTCGGGTGCAGCAGTCAGAGACGGGTGGTGGTTGCGGGTCCCTGTGGTGGGTCCGGGTCCCTGTGGCGGGCTGTAGGTCGACAGAGCGCCACCGAACGCACCTGGCTCAGAGCAGCCCCGGAAGTGCGGCGCCCCCGTCTCGGCCTCTCTCCTCCCTCCCCGCCCCCCCTCAGCCCTCGTGTCCATACAAGGGCAGGCCACGCTCACGCCCCGCCCCTCGAGTCGCGTTCTTATCGGTGATTGGCTGCTGTTGGCTCTTCACCCACCCTCCAACGGCGGCGCGTGTCAATCACGAGCCACGTGACGCGCGTGAGGCTGTGGTCACGTGACGTCGGTGGCGTGACATTGACGCGCGGGGCGGAGTCACGTGACGTCCCTCGTGACGCACGCGTGGGGCGGGAGTCACGAGGCCGCGTGACGGGGGGGGAGGAGACGTCACCCGGCGAGGAGGCGACGCAGCCGCCTCGGGGTCACCGCGACTTGCCGCCCCCCACCCCCGCCGCTTTACTATCACGGGACAGAACGTGTCACGTGGTCGTAAAACAACATGCTGAGCTGAAACATTTCGAAGGCGCATCCGCGTGTCACCATGGCAGCAACTAATTTTTAAAATCCGAACGCGAACTCATTCACGTGTTGGCCGCTCGTCCCGGCTGCTGATGGCGCCGCTTTTAACCCCCGTTACCACGGCGACCGCTGTTCCAGGGAAAGTAAACAACCCTGGTTGCTTTGGCGACGACGCGCGTGCTTGCTCGCGTGGTCACCACGTGGCCCCGCCCCCCGCGGCGCACGCGCGCGCGCTGCACCTGGCGGGGCGGGTCCCCGAGTCGTGTCCCCGCCCCCCCCCGCCCCCTCCCGTCGAGCTCACAGGAAGCGGCGCGCGCCACGCACGGGGCGACACGCGGAGGCGCTCGGCATGGCGGGCTCGCGGCGCCTCTCGGCGCTCTACACGCAGTACCTGCTCGTCACGGCGCTCTACATGCTCGAGCCCTGGGAGCGCGCCGCCTTCAGTATCCTCCGCCTCCCGCTGCGGACATCGGGACCCCCGCTCCCTTGACCGCGCGCTCTCACGGCTCCTTCCTCAATGTCCCCACTCCCAGCCTTCCTCATGCCCCGCTCACTGGTTCCCTACTTCCGACTCTCCCTGCACCCTCGCCTTGCTCTCATTACTCTCTCTTCGCTCGAGTCGCCTCTCCCTCCCACTCTCTGTTCTCACCATTCACACTCGACTCTGCTGCTGAGCTGTCAAGTTGAGGAAACTGCGAATTAATGCGTGAGAGAGAGAAGTGCGCGAGTCTGGCTTGACTGGCCGTGGGTGCGGGGTGGTGTTGGGTGGGAGCGGGTCATTGGCGCTGTGCCCCCTGAATTACACTCTGAATTACACTCGCCCTCACGCCCGAGGGCTCCGTATGGGCTCTGTTCTCGTGTGTAATAATAGCAACACTGTGGGCAAGGGCTTAGATTTCAATGTCGAGGTATGCTGTTCGCCACGACGAGAGGGCTTCAGGAGAGAGAGTTCGTGTCGTTGTTCTGGCCCTCCCTTGTTATGTATTTACGTCGTGAACTTCGTTCGCAGCGTACGTAGTAGCCAACCGTGCTAATCGGAGGTGCGGATTACAGTGTTTGACCACATAGCCTAGAGTTTGGGTTGCACTGCGCTACTGTGGCTTGTCTTTAATGTCCAATATCTCTGCGGGTGTCCGCGTGTATGCATCTCTGTGTCTGTGGGTTTACCTTACGATGCACAGTGTGGGTTGCATGACCACAGTCACACTGCGCGCTGTGTCTCTTGCTCTCGCCTCGGCCCTCAGGGGCTTCAAATGGACGTCGATTGAAGTCCGTGAAGTTTGGTGGTGGTGGTGGTAGTGGTGCTGATGAGGGGTAGCGTGAGGCACACGCCAAGCGCCGTGACATGAGCCTTCTGAAGCTCGTGCTGCACAGCCTGTGCAGTGGTGATGAAGTGATTGTGATTATTGTGGAGAGTGATGAGTGTGATGAGTGCTGTGTTAAGTGATTGAGTGGAAGGATCGGGGTGTGGTGATTGCGATGGGGATGGCTATTATGGAATTAGCAGGATCGGTCGTGTGGCGGTTAACTCGCTGCGCTACAAACCCCTTAACATTCGAGGTCGATTTACAATCACGGCCAACACCAGTGACGATTATTTGAACCAGTCTTGGGCCTCTCCCCTCGGTCGACTCTTCCTTAAATGAGTACCTGGTGTGACGAGACAAAGGTGGTCGAGCGCGGTGCTGGCCACATCCCCCCCCCCCAGCATGTACCATGCCATCCTTCATAGGTGCTCGCTAACAGCACTTGTCCCAACAGTGTGTTAAGGCTATAAAGAAGGGGGTTTTGGTGTCTGGTTCACCATCGGTTTGTGGTGGGAGCGATATAAGTCAATATTTGTGGCGAGTGATGAGTCTGCTGAGAGCCGGCTGGGTATGCTGAGTGCTGGTTCTGACTGCACAGGGCATCCCCGCCATGAGAGGGGTGACGTGACTCACCCAACCTGTTCTTGGGTAATGTCACCTGAGCTTGGGTCTTGCTTTGTTGAGTCATGAGAGAGGTTGCTTCCATATCGCCGCTGTGGACGACGCGTCTGGGAGGCTGTATGGCAAGTGCAGCCTTAGCAGATGAGACAATTGCGGGTAAATTGAATTGAGGATAATAAGATTAGTCGCACGTGATTCCTCTGTCATTCTGACCAAAGGGAAGCCACGTGGTGCTCAACCCTGTCCATAAAAATCACGTTCTGCAGGAGTAAGATGTCGAGGAGGCTTTCTGTTTCTCACCGAAGCTGAGTGAATAAATTACGAGGTCCTTTGGCAGGGGCGTGCAGATCATAAGTCGTTCTAAGCACCTAAGCGTGGCTTGTGGCAAGAGTTAAATTCATGACATTACAGCGTCTGATTGTGAATGAAGCGCTGTTAAATGCTTCGTTGCTTCTGAACAAGCACGTTTTGTTGCCCATGGTGGATCAAACGGTGCCCATCTGAGGCGTCTCTTGACGTTCAACCTGATCACTGGAGTCACAAAGTAATGTGAAATATTTCTGTGTAGCTGCTCCTTGCATTATAGTAGGAAATCTTCCACTCGAGGCATCAGTTGTCGAATTTGCATACAGATTTGCATTCACAATTTCCTTATTTTGCTTGCCGTTTGGAAAATATCAACGGGCTACGATTGTATTGTTAAGTGTTAGCCGTTCCACGGCATCCGTGTAGCTGAGTGGACTCCGCTCGGTCCACCAGAATCCGCGTGTTGTATTGGTGCTATCGTCGCTGATGGTTTATACCTCACTGCATTCACAGATTCCTAATATTATTGCACGAAAAACAAACAGGTGTTCCTTTTAGATCTCCTAAACATACACAATGTACACAAGTATGACGTAGAGTACATAATTTATACTCAAGTGTAGAATAATGCGTGTTTATATCTTTATCGTGGAGTCAACATTGGGGTACAGCTACAAGAGGCATTTCCATTATGTTTGTGTGTTTAAATTATCTGCGTTATGAATGATCTTAGAAGTGAAGTTTTCTTCTGCCGTGTTGATTCTGCTCTTGCTCGGTGGCGAGCAGAGTGCTCGAGCGCTTTGTGTGATCGGGGTCTGTGGCCGGCATGCGGTCCACGTGGTGGTTGGTATGTTCCCTTGACCGTGCCGCTCAGACCTGCTGCTGGTGATCATCATGGCCATGGTGCTGTACACCACGTTCATCTTTATGCCGCAGCACGTGTCTGCAGCGCTCGGTTACCTGCGCTCTGGGGAGCTGGAGCTGTGAGCGCTGGCGTGCTCGCCGCACGCACGCCTACGGGGGATGATGGGAGGAGAGGGCCGTGGGGCCGAAGAGCCGAAGAGGATGCCCACGTGCCCTCCCCAGCCCACTACCTCAACAACGCAAGCTGACGCACACAACAACTCTTCATTCACCATGTAACTTCGACATCTGGGGAACGAGAGAGTCCTTTTGTACAAATTTTTTCACATTGGAGAAATGGTTCCATATGTTATATTAAATCATGTTTTTGTTTTAAAAACTCTTTGAAACCCTCCCTCTTTGATGGTGTTTATTATTTGTAGGCAATTTTTTATTCTTTGGAAGCAGCTCGGCTTCGTACTGTATTTTCAATACTGTCAGAAGCTCCCATGCATTGCATTATAAGCTGCAGGCACTTGTGTAGGCATGTGCAGCAAGCATGTGCAGCGAGCATGTGCAGAAATCCGCACTGACCAGCAAGCACGCTGTTGGGTGCTCTGCCTCTGCGCCCGTGCTTGTGCACACAGTCCCTTGTGTCCCGCTCTGCTTGTCCATCGTAACCTCCCCACCCCCCCACGTGTGATGGTAGATGTTCGCACCACATTGGGTTTCTTCATCTCATCCCCGCATTTCTTAATCATTTTAACAATTTGGTGTATCTGGGAGGCTGCATGTGCATCGTTATATATATTTTAGCGTGCAGCCGGAGCTAAAATGAGGTGGGTGGAGTGGTGGTGCAGTGCTTAGCACACTGCGCTATGAGCCTGGCAACCCGAGTTAAATTCCCTGTCACAACTAGCATTGGTGAGTGATTTCCAAACCAGTCCGTGCCTCCCTTCACCAATCCGCACTGACCAGTGTGATGAAGTATGGTCAAACAACCTTCCCAACCAAACACGGCATAAGGAGACCTTGAAATCAGTGGATTTACAAAATTTGAAATTATATATTTCCCTCCAAAAATCTATCTAGGGATAAAATTAGGGGAAGTAATTATATGATTTTAAATCTTGCTTTACCAAAATAAAATAATTATATTTTAAGCCCTACTTGTATTGAGGTACCAGACCGATGTCACCATAAACTGCCTTATGTGTTCAGACACGTTATGAACCAGAAGTGCCAACAATCCTGACAACGTCACGGTCTATTGGTGGACAATCTTTTTCCAGCCAATGCTACTCACTGAGCGTGCCACCCATGGCGTATTGGCATTGCTCGTGTAGCATGGACCGTCATTTCGTACAAACTCCTAAAGGCCCTCTCCTGTCATCACCACGCTGACAGTCCTTGCAATGATATCAGTCATTTGAAATTGTCTTCATTGCCCCATTCTGAAAAGGAATATATTTTAGAAAGTCTTTTGTAAGAAATCGAAGATAATGAAGCTTAATTTATTAATATTCTTTGGGTCTTTCGGGAAAGTCACGTAGATAGAAAAATAATTTCTAAAAATCACGACGTTTTGGTCCCAACACGCGCAATCGTATTTTTCACCTGATCGAAACGTAATTTTGATTATTTTTCTATCTACGTGACTTTACCGAAAGACCCAAAGAGTATGAATTACTGCAGTTACGAAAGCTTTAAGTGAAGATTTAATTTATTAAGGCAAGCCTGTTTTTATTCTGTATTGCATTTGGTTTGGAATATTTGAGAGTGCATGGTGAAGTTGCAAACATTTGCTGGTGTCACTTATGGTTGAGCTATTTATGATGAATATTAATCCAAAGAGAGAATTACACTGGACACACGTTTATAACTTATAATAGCAGTTTATTAAAGTGCACTTATATTCTGCAGAGAATATTTTATTTTAAGATGGCCCATTACACAATGTTTGAATACTTTGGTTCGTTTTATTGATGCTTTGAAATATCTACTGTATTTTAAACATCGCAAGTACAGTCTGATTTAATGGATGCAAGTCATCACGGTGTATCTTCGCTGCTTATGCAGTGATTACAGGTCTCTCACTTTATGCGGGGTTGGTTTGTGTTTTCGCGTATCTGCAGCTAATGTATTTCTACCTAAAATTCCCTTCATGCGGTTTCAATTCACTCACATTCGGCTATTCAGTCGGACGTGGGACAACATTGTAGGTACTGTACACGCTACTCAGCAGGCAGCTGTCTTGTGCGGTGCACTATGGGTTGGGTGGCTGCGGTCTATACTATGCGATTTCACTTTGTGCGCTTTTGTTGGAATGCATCTACTCCCTCATAAAGCGAGGGAATCCTGTATTCCTTCCCGACTGCCCTGGCATATATTGTTTTGTTTTGCATTTAAAATCATCACCATGTGCATCCCTGGTATAAGCTTGGTAGGTGTGGTTTTTAAAAGATAACTATGTGATGTAGCAAAACCAGAACTGGCTTCCAGGTCTCAATGACGACGATACTGCCCTGTTACGCAGTCATTGAGTTGGCATTTGAGGTGACACGAATTGAGTGCAGATGCCAGCAGGGCAGAGCCGAGCTGGGTGAGTTTGGGGCAGGATGGCAGGCCTGCTGTGTAATGCACGCCAGCAGACGTGCAGGGGTCGAAATTGTACTGTATAGTCAGATGTAAAAAGATAACAGTTTGTTGTGATCCCAATAATTTCCACAGTTTTTAAGAAATAAAATTGTACTGATCCGGATATTTTTTTATTCTGTGTCACTGATGATGCGTACTTGAAAAAGGCGAATTTCAGAGTGCACAGCCACCCATCACTGCCGACATTCTACAAAAACTCAACACATTTCATCATTACACTGGCATGCAAGGGAAACGGAGATGTGATGTTTGGGAATGGCCCTTTATTCGTAACACACTACAGTAAACTAACCACACAAACATAGTTTGCACCACCGATGAGCATGCTTGGCTATGAACGGTGCAAAAGAAGTTCAACATACATAGATACATACAATGGATAGTGCATGGAAAGTCAGGTTATAAAGCAAGCGGAGCAAAGCATGTTGAGGAAGACGAGAAATATACGGACATGCTACATCAAAGATTTAACACAATTATCAAGCGATTAAGAAAATAAAATGGAGAACACAAGACGACCATGATTGAGAATTTCATCAACAATGGTGGCGTTAAAACGGTGAGATGCAGTTTTGCATCAATAACCCGATATAAAAATGAAACTACTATTACTATCTCTGATTTATCAACTTCCGTTTTTATGCTTTCACGCTCCCGTTCCTTTGGCTAACTCCAGTTATTTTCCTCTCAGGTTCTCCGAGTTTTTTCTCGTTTCCCCAATATTTTCACGGAGTGCCCTGTGCCGTAGATCTTGTTGCTATTGTGCATTCCTTTTCATTATGCTTTCTCTTTTATTCATGAAAATCCCATTCAGCCGCAGAGGCTGCTCGACTAGTTTACAAGCCGTCTGGCAACTGCCATTTCCTAAACAATGTCACCTTAGTGTGAGTTTTACAATGATTAACGTTGTTCATTTCCAGCGGTTAGAGCTTATCGGATTTAACATTTTGCATCGCAGCCCTTGACATTCTATGTAACTGGCTACACGGCCCACCACGCGACTCCCCGTATGTTGTGTAACTCAGCTTTTCCAGTCGTTTACAAAACAATTGTGGACACGTGGAGAGAATGCAGCCTTTCCAGTTCGGGCCTGGACTGGGAGACTCCAGCGTCAGCGTGGGATTCTGCCCAAAGCCCGGCAGGGCATTGGAACAGCGAGGCGGAACACGCTCTCCAGACCAGCCCGGCTCGGCCAAGTCCGGTTTGGCCCCGTTCGCGAGTAGTAGGAACGAGGGTGTAGAGGGGGGATATTGTCCTCGTGCTGTGACCTTGCTGATGTTCGGTGAGGGCGGGGCAGAATTTCCCTCCCTCGATTTGAATCGGGTGAATCCCAGGGAAAGAGATCGGAACGGAGTCCTACGTCACGCGGGCGTGCTTCGTGTTGGTTCTGCGTGGATTCCTCGCGCAGATTCACTTGTGGGATGTGGAACGTTTTCCAGGGAGCGAGCAAGCTGTGCCACGGCGCTGCCCAGCAGCAGTCGGAGGACAGCCTCTGGAGGGGAGTCCACGCCCGGGTGGTGGGAGTCGCGAGCCGGCGTCGCACGCCCAAGGTGAAGGCACCGGCGCCGTGCGGGGCAGAGTGGGGGGGGGGGCAGAGTGGGGGGGGGGGCAGAGTGGGGGGGGGTAGAGTGGGGGGGGGCAGAGTGGGGGGGGGCAGAGTGGGGGAGGGGGGGCAGAGTGGGGGAGGGGGGGCAGAGTGGGGGGGGGCAGAGTGGGGGGGGGGCAGAGTGGGGGGGGGGGAGAGTGGGGGGGGGGCAGAGTGGGGGGGGCAGAGTGGGGGGGGGGCAGAGTGGGGAGGGGGGGCAGAGTGGGGAGGGGGGCAGAGTGGGGGGGGCAGTGGGGGGGGCAGAGTGGGGGGGGGGGGGGCAGCGCTGCACACGTGCAACGAGTGTTCTCTTCGTAGATGCGTGGGTTTGATCTCGTTCCACATTCACATACAAATTGCGATGGAGCGTCGTGCAATACGAGAGACATCGTGCACGGGAGTCATCTCTGCCGACTGTCATCACTCCCACCACGCGTATCGTGGTGCCTCGCGCTGGGCCGGGGATCGGGGCTCGGTTCTGGGACGGCCCCTGCACCCCCACGCGTCCCTCTGTGGCACCATCCACACGGTCACTGGCCAAACCGTCTTGTTTTGTCGTGGTGGCAGATGGACACCGCTCCTGGCCCCTGTCCTCTGTTTCCAGACTGTTGCGGGAAATGCTGTTAGTGAGCACCTATGAAGGCCAGCACAGCACACGATGGGATGGGTGGCCAACACCACGCTCTTGCCCAACACGAGGTTGCTCTTCCCTTACGCTTGGAAAAAGTGCTTTCGTGTACCTTCGTTCATTCACAACTTGCTCGGACAAATACAAAACCAAACACGTTGTGCAGCCTTTAGTGACTAAAGGAGACCGCCAACTCGCTGGTGTCATCGGTCGCCTCCCACATTCAGTCAAATGCGCACTCTGGCTCATCGTCCCATTCATACACGGGCCCCTCTCTCAGTGGCTCTGGCTCACTGCCACACGACGCAGGCGCACCTCTATCCCTCCCGGGTTACCAGGCAGCTGAAACCGGTGGTGGCATTGGTCATCACGTGACCTCGCGTCCTGCCACGGGTTTGTGGTGCGGAGCGGCGTCGTGACGTGGGGGATGACCACGTAACGACCCCAGCCATGACAACTTGGACGTGCGAGCATCACGTTAGGAGCAGTCCTCTTTAATAAACCGCGCATGTCACATGTACAGCATCACTGTTGGCACATTTGGTAAAAAAAATAAACAATCTTGATATTGGCATCATCAATAAAGCCTAATCGGACAATTGCTGGCACTATTAACACGATGCAGACTCTCACCAACAACTTGTAAACTGCCCTGATGTCTGCGTGCCAACCACGGAACTTTAACGCAACAGACTCGGGGCCTTTATCGTGAAACATCGCCGAGCTGCTGCTGAGCCGCAACCCGCGCCGCTGTAGTCTGAACAATCCGGTGCTGATTTGCAGACATTTACCAGAGCCTAATCGACTCAGTCAACCTGATAACGCTGGTGCTCAAGTTTTCAAAGTAAAACATGACGTTATTTAAAACGATACAAATTCAAGTCCTAGAGGAAACTCCCTTCTCAAAATATTGCTGCTGTGCGGTGTGCATCGCTATTGGTGACCGTGAGCCAGCGCTGGGAATTCTACATTCCTATGGCAGGGGTCAGTCTCTCCAAAAGACAACCACTGTTGTTGACCTTCCACAAACGTGGTACTTATTTTTTTGATTCACTAAGTGTGATGGGCAAACTCAACCCCAACCGAGACTGGCACTCGTAACCTTCTGATTGCGTTCACTTTTGCCAGCTGTTCCTCCAAACCGTCGCCATCACACGAACCACAGTGGCCGTGCGTTCCGTATTCACGCGAGGCTGCAGCCCTCCGCTACGGGGGCTGCCTCACACCGCCGTCCCGGGCCGTCGCCGCCGCGGCCACGAGGGCCGTGACGATCTGGCCCAGGATGGACACGAGCTGCACGTTGGAGGCGTTGTAGCTCGAGAGCTCGAGCGCCCGCTGCTGCTGCTCGGCCCGCAGCTGCTCTCGCTTGAAGTCGAGCAGCTGTCGGAGCTGTTGCTGGCGCAGCTCCCGGTCGGCGCGCAGCTCCTGCACAAGCAGCGCGCCCAACTCCCTCGCGCAGCGCGCCCACACGGAGGCCGCCGCCGCACGTTCGCGCTTTGACCCTGTGGGGCACGGGGAAGGAGCAGGTGCAATGGAGAGGGAGTAGGGGTCACGGGGGAGCGGGAGTAGGATCATCTCGTATGCATGTTGAAATTATTTTGCACTGTATATAGCCAACCGTGCTGATCATACATATCCAATCATGCCACATTCCTCACCGAGCCATTATTCACATCCCCACGTCAAAAGGGCCCACGTGCAATCTCATCTCATTGACCCTTTACAGACGGACACGGCTCATAGTTGATGTTTGGCTCTGCCATTCCGAGTACAATGCCAATGTGCATCATCAGGGGATTTCCAGGGTTGGAGTTCAACTCCACTGCAGGAGTTCAAATCAGGCAATCGCCTAATGATACTAAATGTAATTACCAACGACAAGTCGACCCTAATTTGTAAATGTGTGGATTGCTCTTCAACACACCAGGTGTGCTGAAGACAAGGATTCGATCCCAGGATCTCCAGTGTCTCTGGCTCATTATTGGCTGGCTGCAGTGCGTGAGCACCTCCTCTACACCTCCTCTCTGACTTCTGGATTCCTCACCCCAGTTGTGCCGTCTCGTGACCCCTCGGCGAGTGTTTGTGGAGCTTGAGGCCGAGTTTGGGGGTGGAGCACGAGGAGGTGGGAGGTGAACGACCTCCGGTTTCTTATCCTCCTCCACCTCCTCATCCCCCTCCTCTTCGCCGCACAGCGAGTCGGCAGCGGCTGCTACCTCAGTGCAGCGCGGGTCACACGAATCTCCTTGGCAGAAAAAAAACACGGGCGGGCCTCCATCACCACGGCGAGCAAGCAAATGCGAAGTCATTCAACAGTCGCGGCGTCTCATCGATCGACCTCCGGACGAGGACCCCCCACGCGGTGGTGTCGGTGAGAAGGGTTGTTTGACCAGAGTTCACGTTGGATGATACGAATTGATGAAGAGGGGGGGAGCCCAGGGCCAGTTAGGGTATCGCTCGCCACTGATGCCCGCCGTGGCCGGGAATTTAATTCGGATGGCCGGGTTCATGCGCTGACCACTGCATCACTGCTTCCCCTAATATCTCCAGAAGCCATCGTTAGACACCTGCTCCATCACAATATGTCCAAGCGGATTTCACCAACGTTCCAAAACTACGGCAATGCTTTAAGGACACTAACTTTTAAACGGATTCTATGACAGAGTTGAAGCAGTGGCGGCTCGTGACATTTCCACGAGGTGGGGCTGTTGTGAGTGACCTCTGAAATTTTGGTGTTCTAATTAAGAAAAACCTCGTCATGTTATTGGTCTTCCCGTGAAAGTGATATCACTGTCTTATCTACCAATGGTGGGCATTTATAAACAATACGAAACATAACAAAGCACTCAAATGCTGTCCCCATGACCCTCAAGTTCACACTACACAACCCCCTTGACACTGCCAAAGCCGTGAGCTGCTCGATTTGCACAACGCGACCTCGCTTTGTGACGTCGTCTCTCATCACAGCCACGGGCGCCTTCGTCACCGCCCTGCATGGGTCTCAAGCGGCGTGGCTGCAATGCGAAGCTCATCGCGATAACTGAAGGGAACTCTCTCACTCGGACGCCTTCACAGACCTCCATGAGGCACAAATCAGACTTGTGGTGTTGCAGCACTTTCTAATATGAGCAAATAAAAATGTTATCTTCATTAGGTAATTCACGATTAAAGAGTCATTTTCATTTTTTTTAAACAACAAAGCTATTTGGAGAAAAGTATTTTTATTAGACGAACCGCGCCTGAGTTTAAGTGAAATTTGTCCTCACAGAGAAGGAAAGGCTCTCCTTGTGATCGCATTAAATTTGGGAAGTATCATCTCACGAAGTTACCATCGTTATCTTGTTAATGTCATCAGGATATGTGCCCAAGCTCGTAACTGCCGGATGCACCTCACGCAGGAAACAATACCATGGACAAGGTGGTGTATACTGAGGCTTTCACCACCAAGGATTCATAATTATGTATTTATTTTTAGCGCGTGTTCACACCTGATGATGCTGGATATAATCTCCAGCCAAACGCCGTGTTATATAAGCTTGCGCCTTTCAACTTTCCGGTTTTGTTGATAAACCAAATCATCAATCGGAATATCTGACCACCACGTGGCAACTTCAACGGGTTGGCTGTGTCGCTGGGCTGGTGGGTGGAGGAGGTTCGAGTTGACGCGACCACGCGATGGGCTGCTCACCCAGGGGTCGGCAAACAAAAAAATCCTCAATGTCAATCACCGCATTGCGTGTCAATATGAGACGGTTGGTCCTTAACAAATTACGTCAAGAAGGAGTAATTTAAAGAGCCGCAGGTTACCGACCCATGGGCCAACCCCAAAGAGACCGATGACGAATCGCAGACACGGCAACGGCCCGCGGTGACCCCGCGAGGATCTCGCGAGGTCACCGCGTGCCGCTGGTTGGGGAAGGGGAGGGGGGTCGACGCACCGTAGGCGGGCTCCGACTTCACGGGCGGCGGCTCCGCGGCAGCCCCCGCCACGCCGCGCGAGTCGGTGACGCCCGCTGGGGGGCTCGGGCCCCCCTCACGGCCCAGCACCGCGTCCATGATCTCGAAGTGCTTACACCGGGCGGCGTCTCTGCCCCCTCCTCCGCCACCGCCGCGCCTGCTCTGCTCCTTGACCCGCTTGTAGTCGGCCTTGAGCCGCTTGATCTTCTCTCGCACCTGCTTCACGCTGCGGCTGCTGCCGCTCGTCTGCAGCAGCCGGATTTGTATTTTGGCGAAGACCTTCTCGTTCCTGACGCACGAGTCCAGCTCGTCCTGGATCACAGGGTCGGCCCAGACGGCCAGGAGCGCCTGCACCTCGCTCGACGTCCAGGGGCGGCTCTCCTCGGGGGGGCCGGGCGACGAGGCTCGCGCCGGGTTCATGGCCCCCGCAGTGCCGCGCGCGCCGTGGCTCGCGGACCCGGACCCGGACTGCCGCGCTCGCTCTCCCCTGGCCGCCCCAGCGAGCCCCGTCGGGCAGATCCGGCCCGACCCGGCCTGGCCCGGGTCCGTGCCCCCCTCCCGTGCCCGCGGTGGCCGGGCGCTGTGAGCGGCGACGACAACAACAACACAATTCAGCCAGAGACTGGCTTCAGCCGGGCCCGTGCCCCCAGCGTGCGGTCTGTGTACAGTGAACGTGCACAAATCCCTGTCTCACCTTAAGCCCATAAACCCCGACCAGGAGAAACATGTTACTAATTTAGAAAAAATAAACTATAAATTCACGTCCAAAATACCATACAAGCCACATAGAGTATGCAATTGTGGCTCATTATTATTACAAGTATTCTCCACAGGCATGTTTAAATAAATTAAATGTATTTCCCCTGAGCAAAAAAAAACGCGTGGGCTGCAAATTAAACTGCCAAAATGATCTCCAAACACTCGCTTCGAGAGGCGATGGGTGGGTGGCTCGCTGGGCAGTGGGGCTTCTATGCCGAGCTGAGGCACACCGCTGAGCCAGGTGTCGCGACTCAATCGTGGGGAGATGATAGTCCGTGACCCGATAGGAGCGGCTGAAAGCGGCGAGGTTGCTGCACGCCACATTATCTCTGAATAACAAGCCGCTGGTAGCGACCCCTGCCCTGCCGGTATCTGTGGTGATCTGAGCCATCGGGAGAAGCCAACGCAGGGTTTTATGAATGGCATTGGCCGTGGTGACCTATTGACTTTGATCATGGAAAGTAATGCACCTAAAACCAAGCCCTTGTGACACGTGGTGCGAATTCGTCCATCAAGCTTGACATGCAACGCGGTGGCCGGGTGGCTCAAGAGGTCAGGGCGCTGGGCTGCTACGGCTGAGAACCCGAGTGCGAATCTCGGCAGCTGCCCAACTTCAACTGTTCTCAAGCGTGGTGACTTTCTGGTCTCAGCCCGAGTAACCAATGACTGCAAGCACAAAATCACATTTGGTTTGGCACTTGACTGCTGGATTCTGGCTCTGAAAATAATTAAAATGATCGATTTTATCGTCATACGTAAAACAATCTCGCGACGGATCTCGAGTGCACTGCGCCCTCTGCTGTGCACAGCGCCAGAGTCGTGCCTGGAAGGGACTGCTCCGCGGGATCTTCTCCGATACACGGGGGCGCGCTGTGCTCTGAGAGTTCCAAATTGATTCCTCAGCTCATGACATCGTACCATTGGCACAATCGGAAATGTGCATTGAAAAAGTAAAAAAACAACTCAAAATGCACATCGGAGCGGTGAAGTACATCCACTCGGCAATCGATGGTTGCGATACCAATCTAATCTGTAAAGGATACATCCCGACCACAGCAGAAGAGCCACAAGTTTCAAACGGCAACACACACGTGTGAAAAATAAACACTCAGCCTTTGTGCATTGGGCAAAAACCATCAACAGTTCCTGAAGTGCACTGTGGTCCTCTTTTCTGAGTCCACCATGAAAAAGTGGGGAAATGTGACATGGACTGACAACAGCGTTCGTTGAATTTGCTCAGAAGTGGCTTGGTGGTGGCCTGAGAAAAGAGGGTCACAATGCACTTCTTCAGGAACTGCTGATAGTTTTTGCGAAATGCACAGAAGCCGTGTGGGTTTTACACATTCGTGTGCTGTTTGAAGCTTTCGTCACCGCAAAGCTGGGTATAATACAGGCGTGATCGTAGCACGGGCGAGTACGTGAGGCTGCGCACCCGACCACGCCGCGTGTTTGTGTTTATACAGACGCTCACACTGCATTGCATATACTGGACACTTTTATTTACACACTTGTCATAAATTATGAAACTATGTTTTTTTTTATTATATAGACTTCTGTGGGTTTTTTTTTGTTACAGCTCTGAATTTAAATCCAATTGAGCTGCTTCCACTGACCCCGTGTTCACTCACGGCATCACCCACCCATCAGGTTACCTGCTGATGCTGCTGGTTCTCCCCGCGGATGTGATCCACGTGTTGCTACTACTGCTATTAAAGCAAGACACTGCATCTTCCTTCCAGCCGTCACTGATGCTTCTCTACCACAGCGATCGCCTGTTTAACCAAGCGTTGTCCTGGTTGATGCAGTGAAAATCTGCCTCAACCTCTTTCCTTCATGTCACTTTCATCTTTCTTTGGCAGAAATTAAACCAAGTACCATGAATTAGTATGATGTTTGGTCTCCACTGTTGAATTATGTCGTATAGTTTTTTAACCCAGGATTTCCTAAATAAATAAATGCCACTATTGTTGTTTAGGGAATTATCGCAAATCCAGAGAGTGATGACAGCGCCTTTTTAAATTTCTATTCCAGGATCTCTCATAACAGCAGTGGGCCGTCACGCTGTGGAAACCACCCGAGTCTATACTTCACCGCCACTGTCGATGAAGTAAACACGTCGCTCTGTATCCTTTTGGTGGAAAACCCTTCAAACGATTAATATTACAGATGTTTTGGTGCCATGAGGGACCATCGACCACAGCCAGACTTATCGTGATGTGGACAAGCGTTTCGTGACCAAACGAGTACCGTTTCAGCTCTTATTAAATTTAGCGATAAGAAGATACGAGGTTTCTATTGAAACGACGTCTAGCATCATGAGGACAAAAAGTAATAGTCCAGGAAGTCAAGAGTCAGATCATCATGTGGCCTAACATAAAAATCAACTATGAATTACACTGGCTGAAAAAAATCCACGTGTTACGGTAACCCCTCAAATGTTTACATAAAAATGTAACTATCGGTGATTGGGTTGAGGCCATGACAATCACAGGGGCTTTGGCACAGGGTACGGCACACGCAGCATCGGTGCCTTCAGCAACCCGGCCGCTCTAATACAGCAGCTACCGCCCACGCCGTTCAGCTGACGTTACGACCACGTAATTTGTGGGGAGTGGTGGCCCAGTGGTTCGCGCACTGCACCATGCACCCAATGACCTGAGTTCGATTTCTGGCCATGGCTAACATCAGTGATATCTTAATTGGTTCTGCACCCCCTCCCCATCATTAACCCGACTTTACCAGTGTGGTGAAGTATGGTAAAAAAACCCAGTTTGACACGGCACGGGAAGGCCCACATGCAGAAAGCAAGAGGATTGACAGAGCGCTGCAAGTTATCACGTTATTACTCCTGCGGCTGTAACGCAGGGGATAGCGCTCGTTCAGGTGATTGCGCGAAGCGCGTCATCATCACGGACGAGGGTGAACCTACGTTGGCACTGCTCTGTCACGTGCGGACGCGTGTCCACACAGAAGCGTGAATATCAACAAGAAATGGGCGCAAGTGGCATTGGTAGACAGTGTCGCTACACGCGACGGTACATACCGAGCACAATCAGACACTGACAATCAGCGCTACATCACAGTCGATGGGACGCACAGCCAGTGAGCACGACACGCAGCGGTGGCTCGTGCTCTGGGTTCAGGAGGCAACAAAGTCCGTGTTGGGTTTTCCAGTCTCTCGGTGGATTCACCTGCACACGTTATCACCTGAGAATGAAAACCCAAGGCGGACTGCTTCCTCAACCTGCAGCCGAGAGCCGCCGCTGACGATAAGAAACATCCCGGAGAGGGCATAACAAGCGCATGGCCAACACTGACATTACAATAGACGTAAATAAACTTTGCCTTTACAAGACATCACGTAAATATTTAAATCACACTGCACGTCTGACAAAATGCTATATGTCACAAAGTGAACGGGTGACCACCCTAAACCAGTCTCCTAAATGTGTGCACATTGAAACATGGAAATCGATTCAAAACAATATGTGAACGCACAGTCCCGAACACGAGATCAGCAATTCAAACACTCTCTTGGGAATTGCATTCTTATGGATGTCAATGTGCATCAGAAGACGACCAATAAGATGCCGTTAGGTCTCACACCAATGCGCAAAGGCACTTGTTAACAGAACTGTTAATTTTTGGGATCCATTTAAAAACAGCATGCTTCACTTTTACCACAATGGAATTCACGGTGGCAAACAAAACGACCGTGACTTGGTAGCGAGGAGCTCTCACGGGTTCCTCTTTGCCCTGCCACTGGGTAGAGTGGCGGGGCTCCGGGGGACGATGCAGCCGTGACTCCACGTTCCTCAACGGCGCTCTGCATTTCCTTACGCAATTCAACGCTCATTATCGTGCACCCTTCCAGTCCGGACTATCGCGAACACATGTATTCGCGATGGTCTCTCAAAACGTTCCACAATTGAAATAAACAGAGCATTTAATACAAATGCACAAGCAATGCACCAAATAATAGAACACTCTCAAAATGCTTGCAGAAAAATGGTTGAATAAACAGCGCATTTTTTAAAATTCATCCATCACATGTTTACATGATATGTGTTTGAAAAAATACACAGATTACTGTGGAAGCATTGGCTTCCTTCGTTCAGGGTGAAACTCCCAGTGGTTTGGCGAGCGACCAGACGCACAGACAGGGCAGTCAGCGTTCTTCACAGAGCCCCTGCGAAGGGCAAGGCCGGTACGCGGTGGGGCGGCGAGGCTGGCACCACATCGGCAGGCCCTCGCTCCCCAGGTTGTGACGCTCACACACAAGCGGGCCCACTGCCAGCGCCGCACCTGGCGAGTAACCGTGGGGCTGGGAGTTAACCACTACCCCACTGCTTCACACGACAAAGACAAGCACGCAGGGTGCTTGCACACAAGTACACTCACAGCACAAGAACATATCGAAGGTAAGAACAGTAATAACCACTGCAACACAGCCATATAAAATAACGCACCAAGGATAAAGCAACTCAACACTGCAACGCACATCGGGACACGTGGCTGTGTGGCGCTGCCCACACACGGGGCGAGATGCCGAATCGATCGGCACTTTCCGCGGACGTGACCAATGCAAGTTTAATTGCGAGGCCTGAAGTGGGTGTCAGGTCATATGAGGCCTGCACACATCTGTCTGGCAACACAACAGACTGTGCATGGATTTAGGCAAAGCTTCCTCAACGCCCAGCACCGGTCCACCAAGCACGACCTATGATACCAAGATACCAATGGCTACGTCACTTAACCAATGCGTAGCTGCCAGCCTGCAAAAGTAAAAAAAGAGCAAGCTCTGAAGCCTGTCTCAAACTCGGAAGCTTGCTCCGATTTGCCTTGCATGCTCATGAGGGATGTGAAAGAGAGCACAGACATGATCACAGAACCCCTATAATATTAAAGGGCGCCTGAGGCTCTGAGATTGAATGAACATTAAGATGGCAGTTTCTTTGTCAGGCTCGCAGTCGGTGTTTCCCTTATTTTGCACCGATCACAACAGCAGAGAATGCTCAAATCAATTCACAGCGGTTGTCAGCTACGCCAGTGGTGGCTACAGGGCGGTGCAGGAGGTGGTGCACTGTGGGAGTGGGGGGGGTTGCCGGCTTGCCCACCGCCCGGGAGGGAGGGAGCCGTCTGCCTCCCCCGCGGTGCTTAGTTGAGGAAGCGGATGCTCATCTTCTGCTCCACGTCCACTTTCTCCAGCACCTGGCAGCAGCAGCAGAGCGGGACGCCGGGGTCAATCCACACGCGTGGGGTCACCGCCTCCGCCTCGTCTGCGCCGCCCCAATTCAGCGGCGGCCATAGATCGTAATCACAAGCCGAGCCACTCGGAGCTACCAAGAGGTGACTGTGGCAAGACAATTTCTTATAATACTTGATAGATACGTGTGATTAGTCTGTTGTCCTTCCCACGCACCTCCGATTAGCCCGGTTGGCTACGTAGAGTGCGAAAGAAGTTCAACATACATGCATACATATACCAACCCCCTATTATTATTATTATCTGCTCGTTTGGCCAGTGGTCGAGTGACAAATCAGTACAGACTCACTCTGTCAACACAAAATCCAGAAGCCCGATGGGTTTGTTTTCAAGCATGAGGCATACGTTGAGGGTACACAGTTGGGCTTTGAGTCTGGGCTCTTCCCACGTGCTAAAAACCCCTCAGACTCTCTCCTCTCCCACGGAGGTGGTTGCTTTGTCAAAACCTATCAAAAGATGGGAGTCGGCCAGGGGCGTTGGCGATTCGTGTCGACTTTCACCAAGACAGCCGATGTTGAATTCAACTATTTATGCTACCGCAGCATATGATACATTCACGGCCTCCACAAACCCACTCAGAATCAGTAAAAATGCTCTTCCTACAATCTTGCACGTCCACTTTTATCACTGGCTGACAACAACACAAAGTGCACAACCAGTTGTTACAGGCCGAGTGGCTACTTGGTGGGCGGCAGAGTGCAGCGCGAGAAACTCCATTCCTGTACTGTACTTCAACGCACCCCGCCTTCACTGACCCGCACTGACCAGCTTGGTAAAGTATGGAAAAATAACCCTCAGGACACGCACGGCATGCGGAGGCCCTCACCCAGCAGTGGGTCAACCTTAGGGCCGCGCCTGCTCACTCCCCAGCGGTACCGTGGGCTTCTAAGTGGCTACGGCCCCAAGGCACCTTCTGGAATTCTGTGAAGGAGATGGCGTTGTCTCCATCCTGATCGGCCTCCTGGATAGTGCGGTCGGCGATGCTGCCCAGCTGCTCGTCGGAGATGTTCACGCCCACCATCATGCGAAGCACCTGCGCATGGGGCCACGAGCACGGGGAGCAAGTCGCCATGCACACACATAGGTGATCATTACAATCATCGCTTAATACATGTGGTATTCGCGCCATCCTCGTAGCGCAATGAAGGAAGAGTCTAGGGTGGTCATGGTGACACACGGTAACACACGGTGATACACACACACACAGAGTGGAGTGTGGTAATGATGACACATGGTGACTCACACACACAGCAGTGCGGTCATGGTAAGTCACATACCTACAGTGGAGCGTGATCAGTGCTGGGCCTCACCTGCAGGAGCTCGTCTCGCGAAATCTTCTCATCCTTGTCCAGGTCATAAAGCCGGAAGGCGACTGCAGCGACATGGACAGTGGGGAGACAGGTGAGTACAGAGGCACGCGGATGCATCTGTATGGCAGGGATATGCCGGTCCATTGTGTACTCTCAGGCATGTGTCACAGTTCGAAAACTATTTTCTTAAACGTGAATAAAACTAATACACTTACATTACTTGCCCTATGACAGCCTCACTGAATATATAACAAGCCTACTTTAGCAGCATCCTACACTGGGATTTTTGGTTCATTTTATGTTTTGCCACCTTCTGGCAACATCGCAGATTGGCAAAGGTCACAACCAACAATTAAATCTTGGAGCTGGGGACCAGGGATGAGCCACCATGCCCAGCTATGTGCAAAACCAAACATAATTGTGTAGGTGAGACATTTGTGGCTAAATAATGAATGTTATTATTAGGGGAGTGGCGGCAGAGTGGTTGGCGCATTCATATATGAACAAAGGGCTGTAGATTATTTCATTATAAAATTTCCACCGCAAAGTCTTCACTGCAAGACTTGGATCAGACGAAGAAATGTTTATTACATTTTTATTAAATTTAATCAATTATTTTTTAAATGTATTTATATTATTTTCATGCTGAGTGTCTGCTGCTGCTGTGTCTTCTACAGCGCTTTGAGATCCTTGTTGAAAAGTGATATATAAATGTAAATATTATTATTTTTAACATGATGCTAAACTGTACAAGTGCTAGCGTGCATACCGATGAGCGAGTGGAATGCCTGTGTGCGTATGTGCATGTGTCTGTGTGCGTGTGTGCCTGTGCATGCCTGTGTGTGCGCGTGTACGCGTGTGCCTGTGTGCGTGAGTGCGTGAGTGCTTGCACGTGCGGTAGTGACGGCACATGGTGCCGTGGCTCCCTGTTCGGGTGCGAGGAGACCCTACACTTGAGTTTGCTCGCGCGGCTGTTGAGGGCTGCGGGGGCGTTCGGATCTTTCTCCTTGACCGTGTCCACCGGCCGGAAATGTGCAAGGGTGCGCATGAACCCACGGAAATTCACTTGGTCCTCCCTGCCACATACACGCACATACACACACACACACACGCGCACATGAGCTGCGGGTGTGTGCGGGCTGCGTAAGTGTATGCCAGGCCAGTGTGAGCTGGGGGTGTGTGCGGGCTGGGTGAGTGAGCTGGGTGAGTATGAGCTGGGGGTGTGTGGGGGCTGGGAAAGTGTGGGCTGGGCGAGTGTGAGGTGGACGCACCCCTCGGGGAAGAACGCGTTGATGATGCGATCTCCCAGCGGGTTGATGGCCAACTCCGGAATGCGCTGGAAATCCTCGCGGCTGCACAGGCAGAGGCACAAAGAGAAAATGTGAAACCGCTCTCAAACGCCAGCACGGCCTCCACTTGGGTGTTAAGTAACATAAATGTTTCTTTAGAATTAGTTTTTCTTTATACACATTTATGTTTCTGTAGATTCAATGAGCAAATCTGCAAAGGCACAGGATTAGTTTTGTTGTACTGAGTCGCTTAGGAACCTATGAGCAAGGCCAAGTCACGACCAAAAGGGAGCGAAGGAAAGCTCCACAGGTTTCGCCCTCGACCCATGCGAGGCTCTCTCCAGCGATTGAACCAGATGTTAAGAAGGAACGTCACATCGTGGGACCGCGAGAGATAGCCGACGGCTTGGGGGTACCTCCATCTAGCAGTGCAAAAGGCTGCCAATAATGATGATGACGAAGGCTGCAACGGTCGCCTGCTGCGTACCTCGTGTCTAGCAGCGTGCCCTCTTTAGCAAAAGGCGCAGTGTCCGCTTCCCCTCTCCGACTACGAGCGAGCGGCCCATTCAAGCGAGCGACCCATCCATCGGTGAGCATCGATCATCGTCAACAATCAGGCTCGTGAAACAAATACCGCTGGGGTGTCTCAGGATTTGTTTTACAAGCCTGAATCTGCTAATGAGACCCTTGAGGGTGAAACTGGTTTGCTTGCTCGTTTAAACGAATTCTGCTGGCACACACTGGTCTAAGAGATGAGATGCTCTTTGAGGAGAGGTGAGCAAAGGTTTATTTATTCTAATAGCCATATTGCAGCACAACAGTGCATTATAACTTTCAGCCGTGTGTTCACTCTGGTGTGGAGCAGCATGGTTGCTCAGGTTTGCCAGACAGCTATGCGAGCTCGATTCAGATGATAATTAAGTCACACTCTTCAGTAATGATGGTGACATTGCACCATTTATTAAAACTATTATTACTAGTAAAATGTGTAATTATTGTTTTATAAAAGCAATTTAAAAACATCCATATCCCTTGTCAATACATGGGCAGCAACATGGCGGTGTTTTCCAAAACCATCAATAGGCCATCGTGCAGCAACAAATCCCACGCATTCCTTGCCACCCAATGGCAACAGTGAGGCAATGATGGGAGTGGTAAAGAGCGATTGCCCTGCGATCATTACGAGCCATGGCATGGCAAGTCTTCCCATCTCATTTCCTGCCTAATCCTTTGGGCATTTATGTATGAAGCCACAATCCAGGTTAGAAACCGCACACAGCAGAAGATCCGTTGCTAAAATAATCGCGGTGTGTAGGCAATAACCGCGTGCCTTCCCAGCAGTGGCACCGTGCAGGGTCCTGGACGTTCGCGAGTCGTCTCGTGCCCGGACTCGCTGCGACTCCACTGTGTCACCACCCCCATTGCGTCCCTCCCCCCGCCCCATGCTCCCGTGTTTCTCGTGGCTGCCATTGTCTCTTGGAACGTGGGCGCAGCGGTTTGTGCAGAGCACTACGAACCTGCCAAACCCGAGTTCGATTGCTGGCAACCTCCATTAACTGACGAGCAACGTCTAAACCTGTCCTACCCACCCCCCTTCCACCACCGTCCACCTTTACCAACCTGCACAGATCAGCGTGAAGTATGGTCAAACAATCTCCACAACCAATAAAGAAGCCTTCATCTAGCAGTGGATTGACAAAGGGCTGTATATCATGATAAAAACAATGTCCTGGCGAAGCCCACTGGTGTTTGACCGTACATGTAACAGTTCGCCCAACCCACCACGATACAACATCATGATTGAGGGTGTAAACAATCCCACTGAAATCACAACTCTTGTCCTGTTTGATTACTCCTTGTTTTGTATGTCGCTTGGATGAATACTTATTCGCTCATTGAGCCAAAATGTAGCTTGAGCATATAATTTGCAAACATAATAAATTACCGATTCTCGCATGCGCAATTTGACGCAAGTATCGTGGACATGGGAATCCACTTGAATTGGTGAACTGATATACAGTGAATGCGGGCTGAATGAGGGCCAGGCCGGTGAGCTGTCCCGAGGCGTACCTCAGCGTGCCGTTCTCTCCCTTGTCCAGGCTCGTGAAGCGGCTGTAAAGGCGCGTGATCTGGCTGTGGGAAACTGATGCAGACCAAAGGATACACACACACACACCCATACACATGCATGAACACAAATATGCACACATTCCGTTAATCAGAATACTATGCCATAGAGAAGGGACAGATGGTATTAGTCCGCATTTTTCTGTACCGCCTTCTCAAGGTGCCTTCTCCAGGGTGTTCCTCGATGCCCACAGGAATGGGAGTTGGGTAACATCTGTGTGTGATCCACCAAGCCTCGCTTCCTCCACAGTGCTGGATTGCAGGCCACGTGCCGAGGCACCACCGTCACCTTTGTCTAGGGCTTCCATGGGATTGACCGCACAGTGGCCAGGCCCTAGCAACGCGATGGCGTTGGCTTAGAGTGTTTGTCTGAAAGTTGGAGCTCAGCTTGACGGACCCCCAGGTAGTGTGCTCAGGGTGCATGCATGGTTCAGGTCCCTAGACATTCCTGCCGCCGGTTGCCATGGTGTGCTGACCGCCGTCTTAACTATGGTACGTTCATCGTTTATACAAAAAAAACAAAATTATTCCTTGTGCAGTGGATTGGTGGCGTGGTGATTCGTGCACTGTGCTGCTATGAACCCAATTACCCGAGTTCGCATCCCAGCCACAACTCACATCAGTCGTGAATAATATCTGAACCAGTCCCGGCCCCCCTCCCCCCCAATTCATCAACCCACACCGACCAGCGTGGTGAAGTACAGTCGAAGGACCGCCCATGTTCAACCAGAGTCGATTGACAAGGGGCTGCAACTATCATAATACATATTGTAGGCTATTTTAATGATATGAGAGAAAATATTTTCACAATGATTATTTCCTATAAAAATTGTTACACAAAATTGGGCTCCCTCTATACGAGGTGTTATATTAAACCGGACCGGTCCAGCACAAATACATTTGGAGTTACACCAACGTAGCATGAATTGAATTACAATCGTCATTTGACCCTGTCCCATAGGTGTCTGTAACCAACAACTATTTAGCACCAACGCCCTGGCACCACGCAAACAATGATACTAAACCGCCGCCACGCAATTCCCCAACGATTAATGACTGCAAGCGATAGGTGAGAGAATAATCCAGAACGTTAGGTGAAAGGATCATTGTTAAATGCACCTGGATACTGACAGGTCCGAGCCCAAGACATTATGCTCCTGACACATCACGATACAATAGCATTATGTTACTCATGTCCGTTAGTAATGGGACACTCCAAGACAAATGGTGGCAGATTGTGAATGGACTGACAGGCTGCGCTCCTGCACCGCTTGTGATTAAAATGTCTCTGCAATTTAATCTAAACTGCAGAATGGTCGTGTGTACAAAGGAACATTACAAGCTTAATATTGAAAGGTTATTAGTTGTACTATTAAAACGTCTGTGGTCAGGAAACAATGAAGGAGAAATGGCAATTCATCCTACATTGTTTCTTAAGTTGTATTTTGGAGTTCGGCCGCCAATTCAAATGTGACAACTCCTGGATCGATTTAAGGTTCTCAGGCAAATGACTTTCACAGGTTATAAGCCCCAGCATCTCTCTCATCTATTAGAATTACTGGTAAATAGGATTAGGAACTTAGGTATCCTATATCTTGCCTTGTAGCCACATAGACCCCACCCCCATCCCACAGCCCCAGGCGCTACTCAGCTCCCCCTTCCCCCATGAGTCACTGGGATCGGAGGCAGCGAGAAAAACTGTAATGGAGACGCATCAGCAGCTCGTGTAGACCGTAGAGCTCATCGTATTGTCACTATGGACTGTGGGAGAGAGGTCAAAGTAGTTATGCGTAGCCGGGAGGGAGTGGCTACGCACACCTGTAATCCAGCACTGTGGAGGCGAGGGTTGATGAATCACTCAATTATGTGAAACTCCCTTCCCGTGGACATAGAGGTGCCATACCCTGGCTTGTTCAGAGACGGAAGGACAGCAAAGTATGGGTTACATTTCTTCCTTCTGAATGGGAAAAACTATTGCCCCCAGCATGCGTGGGGTTTTCTCCCAGTTCTCAGATTTTCTTCCACAAGTATAATCACTCAGTAATTCACTGAAAACACGTTTAAAAAAGTATACACTTCTGTGTTTTTTGGATTGTGCAGCAGTATGAAATGCAGTTTGCATGAGTGATGTTAATTAAAAACACTCGTTGACGGACGCTGTCTCACTCAAGAGTTATGGGACATGCAGAATTGCGAGTCACAGTTACGTGTTGGAAAGAGAGAAGGAATGAGGCAGCGATCACGATGTCCCATATGTTCCGCGTCACTCTCATCAAAACTGTCTAATCTACCTCCCCGCTAAAGCGCTGGGAATTGGGCTGCAGTCGTCATTACTCCACATCTCGCGCGGCCAATACATTTCCATCAGCTCATCATCCCCCCGACTTAGCGCGCGCGTGTGGACACAACGCCCACACCCTGACACCACATTCTGGGCCGGAGACACATTCTGGGCCAGTGACACATTCTGGGCCAGAGGCACATTCTAGGGTAGAGAAACATTCTGGGCCAGTGACACATTCTGGGCCAGAGGCACATTCTAGGGTAGAGAAACATTCTGGGCCAGTGACACATTCTGGGCCAGAGGCACATTCTAGGGTAGAGAAACATTCTGGGCCAGACACATTCTGGGCCAGTGGCACATTCTAGGGGCAGAGACATTCTGGGCCAGACACAGAGACACATTTGACAGCACGCAATCAAGTCGTGCCCCACGTTCGCTTAATGGGACAGCTCCAAGGGTGGGAAATGTTTAGTAGTAATAATAACAATGGGTAAAGGGGCAGTCCTGCTGGAGAAAGGGCCTCCCCTAGAGGGAGCTCAAGAGAGCCACTCCAGAAGGTATTGGGCCTACTTTTTTATGCTGGTGTATACATTTATACTGCCGGGTGTGCAAAGGTGAAAGGATTTAATATAGACTTTGCGTGGCAGGACCCTCCTGAAAAAGAGACTGAGGCAAGGTGAAGCTTTCCCAAGTAAATAGCGTAAAAATAACAATAATAAAGAGATTAGACTTTGGTCTAGAGGGAAATAAATCTGCAATAGCAGCTGCAAAATAGGCATTAAGCATTTAACATTTGGCAGTTAATTATATTTTAATTTCGCAACTTATGCTTTTGGCACCATAACATACATTATCACCTTACCTATATATGCTAACGTCAAACTAAAGTGCAGTGACACTGTGTACCCATGGTACTATTCCCCCAAGAAGACTTTGTTAACCTTTGTTCCTTTGTTAAATGTTTGAAACAACAAACAAAAACCAATTAAATCTGCACAAACAACAAGCTTTTTACAATGAGCATTCCTCAATGAACCAACATCACCTGCTGAACCTACAGATAACGCCAGACAGGCACACAGTGCCACAGGAGCTCTGTCCCATTTAGGTTGCATAAGACCTGCCTTTGCAGGTGCAGTCTATGACACTGATTGAACACGCAGCATTTACTGAAACTTACAGCACTTTTTTTTGCAAAAGGAAACTTTCCAAAGCATTTCGGTATTTTTTGTCAGTGGATATTTATGGAATGCATTCCACACTTGTTAAAGCTCATAACGAGATGTGAAATGTCACTGCTGTCGAAGGGCTCCCTGGCCTCGCTTCGGCGCTAATTGAGGAGCAGAGGTGAAAGGATGAGCGGAGCCCGACTGCTGTTCTCTAAGGAGCCGCAGGCGTAGTGACCCTGCATGCAAGTGGGATTGATTAATTATGTAGAGGCTTACGCACAATAGAAAGGCAACATTCCCTCTGGCTTCATATCTTCACATGAATTCGCTTCTGTTGTTGGGCCAAGTAAAGACTGTCCAATAGCAAAGCAATATTTACGTTATAATTTACCCACTGTCGATTTTGATGGGATTGTCACGATAGGGGTTGTGATGCAATTAAGAGATTGATTATTTCGTCTATTTACCATCGCATTTGTATTGTTTCTCATATTTTAGATTTCACTGTTAAAGTTGTTAGCTCCAGTGACTTAATTGTAATGTAAGCATATGAAATATAATTTATGGCCCTTTTGTCAGCCACTTCTGGAATGCCTCCACACATCTTGTCAGTCACATGGGTTGTTTTACCATACTTAAAACCACGCTGGTCAATGTGGGTTGGTGAACGAGAGACTTCGGACTGGTTCAGATATCACTCGGCAACAATGTTAGCCATGACTGGGAATCAAAATCAGGTGGTCCAGTTCATTGCGGAGTGCAAGAATCGCAGCGCCATCACTCCACCGCGTTTTCATTTGCATAGAATGTGCATACAACTTTCCTAAACAGTAACTTATCCATTTTCTCTGCATCGAAACATTGCTAACTTGCCACGTGTGAAGATGGCGCAAACGTCGGTCCATTCATAGCGGTGCCGTGAGATGTACGTGCTGGCTTCCCCGCTGCACTCCCGTTACACACGGAGTTTCCCTAACCCGGGACCCAATCGTCCGAGTCTCCTATTAACAACACTCCTAATGTACATGGCAACTTACTGTTTTCTCAATTTTGTTAGTCACGATCCTGCCCTACAGAGCATTACAGTAGAGCTATCGGGGCAATTCGACCGCATGCACACAACGCAGCAGTTCCTGCAGGAACCCTATTCCATTCCCACAATTCCAGTCTAGATAATTCATACAGGAACCACGATTCTTCTATGGCAGATTCCCATTTTTAAATCACATTCATTTCAATGGAAAATGTTTAACATGAGAAACTGTCATTCAAGATTCCTATTTTAAAAAATCCCATGAATTGAGATTTTTAACATGAGAATATGCCATAGAAGAATCGTGTAATAGAATGGAGAGGGCCGAGAAGTGTGTGCCCGATGCTACATACACACACGTAGCTGCCCCGTGTATTAAAGCCATTTGTCAATTCGTTGCTGGATGAGGGCCAATGCAGGCCAGTGGCAGTGCGCCAGCCACACGGCCGTGTCAGTCGCGTGTCATGCCAACAGGATGGCACGAAGCAGTCAAATGCAGTCACAAATAAATCAGCTGCGAAGGGAGTAGTGCACTCTCAGTTTCCCAGCAGTCTCCCCATGGTACGGTGGTGGTGACCAGGCGAGCTTGAGCACCACTCACAGTTCAAATCCCAGGCGGAAGGTCTCTCTCCTGCCTCACGGCGCTTCAGGGTCAATACAACGAGGACCGCTAATCGCGGGCTGGGTCCGCGCTTCTGGTTGAATCGCGCGGAGCCTTCACCGCTGGCGCAGGGCCACCGAGAGGTGAGTACAGTCGCACTGGGATTTAAGAAGGGATACTCTTACACACACGAAGCTTCTAAAATTGTTCCAGGGTGGTGCCGTGACAAGTTTGATCCCAACTACAGTGCACGGCCCGGCCCGGCCCGGCCACTCACCGGCGAACAAATCACCGACGAGCAACTCCCGAGAGACGAGATCAACAACTCACTACAGCCCTGGGGCCAGAGCCCGTCTCTGCCTCACAGACTCCGTCACGCAGACACCCTCTCTGATCATCACTCTCGCTGGCCGTGTCCTGATAGATTCCTGCTCCCCAATCGCGGATTATAGGCCCGGCGCGGGTCCCCCTATCACAGCGCGGCGCTACTCACATCCCGTCTCCTTCTTGATCTCCTCGATCTCCTCGTCGCGCAGGAGGGACGAGGCCCGGGAGCCCATGGTGGCGGCGGCGGCAACTGCGGTGGCGGCGGCGAAGGTGACGCTGGGCGAGACGCAGCGAGGAGGGTCCTGGCGACACCGGCTAAGAGAGACCCCGCCCCCTCGCAGAGACCCCGCCCCCTCGCAGAAACCCCTCCCCCTCGCAGATACCCCGGCCCCTCTCGGAAACCCCGCCCCCTCGCAGAGACCCCTCCCCCTCGCAGGTACCCCAGCCCCTCTCGGAGACCCCGCCCCCTCACAGAGACCCCTCGCAGAGACCTCGGCCCCTCTCAGAGACCACGCCCCCTCGCAGAGACCCTCCCCCTCACAGAGACCCCGCCCCCTCCCCACTACCGGAAGTACGTCGGTCCTCTCCTACTGGAACGCGCGGGAGAGGCCGCCATTGGTCACGTGCGCGAGCAGACGAATCGCTGTGCGGTTTGCTGCGACCGCTCGACGCGCGCTGACCAATCGGAAGCGCTGAACCGGGGCGCGGTGTGGGGGAGGCCTCTCCGTACGACACCGGTGAGTCCTAGTCTGCTCCTCTGCTCCTCCTGTTGCTGCTCTCCCTCCTGCTCCTCGCCGCTCCTGCTTCTGTTCCTCTCCATTGCCTATTGCTGTTTGCTCCTTCTCCCCTGCATCGCGCGAGCTTGGTGCTTGTGCAAGAGAATCGGACTCGAGCCCCGACCTGGCGCCCCACGGCGGCGGCATTGGGGTGGCGTCTTCGGGGCGATTGTCTCGTTCAGGGAGATTCCCTGAGACGTGCCGGCACGCGGCCTGTGTGGGTGTGGTGGAGCTGCGTGCCACGAGCTGTGCTGCGGCGTTATTTGACGAGACGCGCTTTTAAGAGCGATCTGCATTGTGAGGTTTGGCCAATTGCCTTTTTTAGGTATGAAGCGAATGTTGCGTGTGGGAGAAAACTGCAGAATGAGATAACGCTCATAGATCCACACATATGGGTTCACGAACTCCGCTGTGATCTCTGCGTGATCGAAGTATAATGTTGAAGATCTGATATTTGAACTGTGACATTTCGCGTGTAATGTCGGTTGGATATTTAAGTTGTGAGACAAGCGCTTGTCACGTGTTATTGCACAAACTTTACAAACAATCACACACATTTTGTTCAACCTCGCCACACCTTGTGTAACGATCCCCCGAACGTTAAACCTAGATATAATGTGGAACCCGCGTTGATAGCCTTGGCGCTGCTGTATCCGTGCAGGACACAAGTCGCTGGTGCACGCACGCAGGGAGCGAGCGGTGATGGAAGGCGCGGGCAGCGGAGCCGCGCTGCTGGGGAGCGCCGACCCCAAGGCCGCGGCTCTGAACGATCGCGGGGAGGAGGCGGACGCCAAGGAAGGAGCGGCGGGCGAGGCGGCGGCGCTGGGAGCCGACGAGGAGGACCCGTCCTCGCCCGCCGCCCGCGCCAAACTTGAGAGAGAGAAAGCGGAGCGCGCACGGCAGAAGCACGACGAGGACGAGATCCAGAAGATGCAGTGAGTGGTGGGGCGGGGGGGAGAGTCCATGCACGTTGGTGAAGTGGGGGTTTACCACTCAGGATCAGTTCGGATATCACTCGCCACTGTTATCCGTGGCCTGAAATCCAAACTCAAGACTGGCAGATTCACAAAACAGTGCCGCGAAGCACTGTGCCGAGCTCACTCACCAGTCGATGTAAATGGGTACTGATTGTACGTGCGGGCTATTTAAATGTGGAGGTAGCATGGAAGTGGCGATCGGCAGCACTTTCGTGCGCCCTCTTTGCTCGTGATGACGGACACGGTGGTGGTCGTGTGCGCCTTCCAGGATCCTGGTGTCGTCATTCTCGGAGGAGCAGCTGAACCGCTATGAGATGTACCGGCGCGCAGCCTTCCCTAAAGCCGCCTTCAAACGGGTACCCACACACTGAGCCCTCACCCCACACACTGAGCCCTCACCCCACACACTGAGCCCTCACCCCACACACTGAGCCCTCACCCCACACACTGAGCCCTCACCCCACACACTGAGCCCTCACCCCACACACTGAGCCCTCCTCCACTGGTATATAAATAACACCTCCCCATGTTTTGGGGCGGTGACGTGGCCCAGCGGTAGCGCATTCACCGCTTGTTGAAAAGGCTCGTGGTTTTAATCTGGCAAGCCACCCTGTTTATTACTACGAGTATGTTTATCAAAAATACGTGCCATCTGACGTTACGGTTAACCCAATCACAAACCTCAATGACGTTCACTCCCCACATTGTACATCAACATTGCCTACAGTTGCATGAGGATTTCAGGTAATTCATTTTCAGTGGATGGCTGATAAATTGATGATGAACAAGTCCAGTCCCAATTAAAAGCGTAAGTAATCTGGGACTGCAATGAAACCTGTTATCTATGTTTAAATACTAAAATATTCCATTACAGAAGCACTGGTGTTTGTCATCCTCTTACTTGCAAGTCCTCTTATCCACACGGCAGATCTGTGATTCTCCCCGGTGCCAGGATTTGGAGATAGAATTGCCGAGATAGAATTGTCGCCGTCAATGTGATAAGCCCTCTTTGCTGCCACGTGCGTGCTTCTGGGTGGTTGACTGTCACAGCACATCGATGATGTGGATGTAGGATGGGGTAGTTGCCCACAGTAATAAAACAGTGCGTATCTACTGTGATAGTCGTGTAATATGGCACTGGTGCTCATTACCCGCATCTCTTGTGAGGGGAACGAGTCACTCACATTGTCACTTAATTATAAGATGAAAGTCTTTACATGCATCGGAATTTCTTAGGATTTTGTAGAAATACACAAGCCTAAAACTAGTGGAAATGTCCAGTTCTTAATCTCTTCCAACTAAAGCCGTCTTTCAAGAATTCCCATTCTCTAGAGCCACTTTTTATATTTGTAGCTGTTGGAAGCGTAACATCCGCAGCACCGGATGCGTCACTCCTGATGTGATGTGAACTTCTTGCACACAAACGGATTCTTCTCTGCATCGTTCAAGCATGGCTGTTACTTGAACTTAGTGTTCACCTCACATCTTCTGCTGACGTGCAGGACAGAGGACAAATGAGCTCCTGTGTGTGGGCAACAGAGCGGAGGTGTTGCCCATGCAGCATGATTTTTTATTGCGGTGATGCCCGGTGTGGGTGTCCGTAATGTAGCACTGGCATGGAGCTCTCTCACAGCAGTGCGAATTCTCCTCTCAGTGATTTGCTGTATATTTACTAAGACGTGATGTCTTATTGGTAATGCTGAACATTTACCTGTGCTTGAAATGTATCGCTTTGTTAAACATTAAAAAGGCTGGCAAGTAGAGCTAATGTGGAGTCGTGTTTGATTTCAGCTCATCCAGTCAATAACGGGGTGCTCGGTGTCACAGAACGTTGTGATTGCCATGTCTGGCATCGCCAAGGTCTTCGTGGGGGAAGTTGTGGAGACAGGTCAGCCCCATTTTCTCTCCAACACAACATACCTACCCAGTTGCTAACATTCATTACAAACACACTGTTAAAACCAGGGAGGTGAGACCGACACATCTTAGTTATCAAGCAATATGTAAGGAGGTGGTGTATTGAAGTTTTCTGACAATTCTGACAAGTTTAACAAGAAAATAGATAAGTCTTGATATATTGTAGCATAACCACATGTCTATCAGAACATGCTTTTCAATCTTTTAACCCTAGTTATTACAGTTTCCATTTTAACTCTTAAATGTAGTTTTTGGAACACAACCACCATCATCTTGGCCATTAATTGTGCTTTATCCGTCATTCTCAAAGAAACGCAAATTCTCATGTTGTGGTTAAACTAACTGCTACACCGTCCACGCATTGAGGTACAACCCATGCCTACTGCTGCCAGCCATGAAGATTGTCACATGGTCATCTTTTAAATGTCACCTGAACATGTTTTTCAAACATTGAGTAAATTGTGTTTAATCCCAGTGTTTTATCCAGCGGATGTAATTGTATTTGTGCCGGCGTGCGTGCGTGGTGCAGCGTTGGACGTGTGCGAGGAGTGGGGAGACACACCTCCCCTGCAGCCCAAGCATCTGCGGGAAGCGGTGCGACGGCTCAAGGCACGTGGGCAGATTCCCAACACGAAATACAAGCGGGTGCTATTCCACTGAATGTACCACACAACACCACCTCCTGCCACCTGTCCAGGGCAACGAGTAGACCGCCATCTACCAGAAAGAGGGGCGCATGTGCACCTCACGACAGCATATGTAGTCTGCACTAAGCGCAGTTATGCGGCCTTTATTTAACTGCAGTGGGCTACGTCATGTTCCACAATTTTGACTGGAGTACAAATACCTCCACCATTTGTTTACATTTGTCGAGCGTCAATGTGCAAGAGTTAGTCACACACCCTAACTTAGTTTACCTCCGTCAGGTAAACAAATAGGTGGCAAGACATGAAAGGTCATTAACACGACATGCCGTGGCGTCATATTGTGGTAGACGCTGCACTGCTAAACGTCCATGCGTTGTGTTGCTGCCCCCCACGTCCTCATCGCTGCAGCTCACGCCCAGCTTCCTAACCCATAATTTTGCCCACCGGACAAAGGAGGGCTAGGGGCCCCAGGGGGGAGCTTGAGGGTCACGTGGTTGGGGGCGTGGCCTGGGGCGGAGCCGGCCATGCCACGGGAGTTATAAGCGGGTGTGAACAGGGAGCTGGGCTGTTCTACCCCGGGATGAAGACATCAGCAGTCGAGTCTCCGATCGTTGTTCGTGACCAGGCAGCCTGTCTCCTGCCTTGGTAACGCTCTGTAGTATTCCCCGAGTGTTCGTGAGATTGGGAACAGTGGTCACCACCCTGTATATAATGTTCACGTTGGTTGTTAATAAATAGTGTTGCCTCCAAGTTAAGTGTGCCTCAATTGAACCCACGACAATGTAATACGCTCAAATTTTTTCTTTTGTAAAAGTGACCATTAACTATTTCGCCATGAGCTGTTGCATTTTTTTACATGTAATATTTTTTTGTTAATAAAAATGGCATCAATAAACGTGTAAAATATTGAAAATTTTAGTAAGATTTTTCAGTTTTAATTTCCACAGCCGTTCTGTCAGTCGCTATTGCGTGGTGTCTGGCACAGTTGCTGAGGCACAGCCCCTGTGACGCGGTCGTGAAGACAGTCTCGATAACAGTTGGTACAACATCGTCTCTGATGCAATCTCTGAGAGCCTTGATGACAGTCTGTAACGGTCACCATGGTGCAGTCATTATGACTTAGTAGCGGCCACTGATGCCCTGTTACAAGGTTGCTGTGACCCAGTCTTTGACGCATTTTCTTTTTGAGTCGCTATGAGGCCGTTGCTATGACACTTAGTGAGACGAACTCTTGCTATGACGCGTTCACGATACGGTCACTGATGGCGTCTATAACACAGCAGCTGTGTTATTTCGAAAGGAGGTTTACACAGACGTGACCTTACACACACGGCCCAAAAATCAGTCCACTGGCAATGAACCAACCTTACTCCAAACCACACAACACAGTTTGTATTCCAATAATTTAATATACTTAATTAAAATCCGAAGTTAAAACGTTTATAAATTACATAAAATAAAAATGTATCTTCCAGTCCTCTTACAACCCTTGATTAAATAAAAACCACTTTCCATAAACCCTACCAATTACAACAAGGCCTCGTGGATAACTGCTTGGATATTTAATCACGGGTAAGGTTTTTTGTGTTCAAAGCTCCATTTGCACATTGCTGATTAGTGCTTGCGAAAAACTTGAGGATAAGAGAGGAATTGGAAGAATGCATTGCCGTTACATCCGATGGAATTCAATGCTCTTGGGTTCCGTATTGAGATGAAATCTGTCTTGGCTGAGAGCCGGATCGAGGTGTGTTCACGCTCAAGGGGTGATCTGTTGAGGTCCAGGGTAGACGATGCATGGAAGAGGTCCAGGGGGTGGCTCTCATGCCGTGCTTCCGACGAGGCGCATCCCCCACACCGCATTCCCTCGATTTGCTCCCCAGAGCTCGCATCAGGTTAGACGCCTGCCGCGCCTGCACACAGACATATGTACACGGGACTTGCACGCGGCCACGCGAGATACATGCACACACCGGGGCATACAGGAGCAAGCGGCTGCAACTCCACCTTCAGCAAGTGCGGTCGGAATTATAACGCCTGCTATTTGAACTGCGATGCACAAACTATTGTGGTGCGTTGTTCATCTAGCTATTGCTTATGAAGGCCTGTTACCACAAGCCACCACACTGAGCCATCCCACTCCGGTAATAACAGTGGAAACTTTGAATTCCAGGCGTGTATGGGTAAATGCAATTGTATGCGAATGTAACTTTTAGGGTAATTAATTGAATGAGACAACATACGAAGGAGTGCAAACGAGACAAAAAAATAACACGATTTCTCAATCGAATCGTGATCCCGCAATCAACTATTCGTTGAACTTAAGGGGGCTGGGGTGTTATCTGCCCGCCGATTCGATTACGTGAATATGTCGGACAGTCACGCTCGACACCACGTAAAGTAAAAAAACCTGGTTTATCAGCATCTCAAGTCTTCATACTGGGAAAAACTGATAAGGCACAGTGACTTACATATGGATGATGTGCGTGAAAACTGGGGAGACAATGCAATAGACATCCGTGACAAGGGCATTCACAGGCACTGGGAAGAGCCACGTGGGAACGCAAACACGGAGACGGAGAGCTTGCCTTGCCGTGGATCTGCTCAACGGTGACGTAAACAAAGATGGACGCCTCGCTCAGGCTTTCCAAGCGCACGTGACGGTAACCTGCCAGGCGAGAGAGCATCCCAACGCAACAACCGGCATAGAGCAGAGAGCCCAACATCAGCCACGGCGAAGTGCGGCCCGGCACAGGCGGCAGAGGAAGAACAGTTGTGGCTCGACATGGGGGGGGGCATGGTGAGCCGTCTGTGCGGAGTACGTAGGGTGTAGTGCATTAGTGTGGGGCATGGTTCAATAGTAACTCGTGCAAGACATAGCTAAACTCAGTGGCAAGTGATATCTGAACTTTGGTCCTAGGCCAACCCAATGTACCTCATCGTGGTGTAAACATCAGCACTGAGGACAAAAGTGGCCCGGGCATGGTGCAGGGGGTGTGCCATCCCGGCCTTTGTGGGTGCTCGCTTACATATTTTATTTTCCCCCCAATAGTCTATGCAGGTTACATGGAGGATCTGTGTTTCGTTTGAACTCGTGAGCGGTATATGCATGGTGAGTGGAATTCTGAGTGTCTGCTTGCTGCGTGTTGCTGGTGAGTGGTGTGGATATGGTGAGAGTGAATGTTTGGTGAGCAGTGTTTGTTGGTTAGCGGTTGTGCGTGCTGTGTGTACGCCGTGTGAATGCTGTGTGTGGCGAGTGCGCCGTGTCTGTGTGTGCTGTGTAGCAAATGTGCTGTGTGTGCATGTGCATGCACGCACTGAGAGATTTAGCACGAACCAGGCAGGATGCTGGACAGGGCGATCGTCTTCTGTCCGATGAAGTTTCTCCCAATGGGGTCGTCGTCCCAAACCACGAATCGCACCATGGCCAGCTCCGGCATGTGGATGATAAACACCAGGGTCTCGTCCCACAGTGGCTGAAACCCTGAACACCGCATGCACAACGCGGCTCGTGCACCGACAGCCAAACACACAGATCCCCCGTGTAGCCTTCATGGATTGTCTGTGTATTATGTGTGTGTATGATGTGTGTATGGTGTGTGTGTGTATGATGTGTGTGTGTGTTTGCTCCTTGCCATTATCGTCCACCACCCTGGTGCGCCGCACCGCAGAGTCAACCGGCAGCCCCACCACCTCCACCTCCACGTAGGGGTCGATGATCTGAGCGCAACGTGGAGATGAAACGTGCACAACACTCAGTCCCCGTGCTTCCATCATCAGCGCTTCACGGCTCCTCTCACAGACGAGGCGGGAGCGTGCGAGTGAAGAGGCATCGCTGCTCTTTACCGCGGACCCATTCTGGGCCTGGTCGCGGTGGCCTCCTGAGGTTTGGTCTGCAGGAGCCGAAAGCTGCGTGCGTGGGAGTTGCGATCTTGAATTTACAAAAGCGTTCGCTTTCCCGGAGTCTTCATTTCATACGCAGACTCATTATTCCCCTGTTACCTACGGGGGGAAGTCTACGTATGTGACAGAACATCCTTCTCCAGGGCAAGACGATTTAACGGAGATTGTGTTGCTACCTCCACTCCCCCGTGTCTCTCGCCGCGTGTCCTCACCTCGTCTCTAGAGGGCAGCCGCGAGACGGCGGGCTTGGGCAGCCGCTGTCCGCTGATGACGCGCACCCTGAGGTACGTGCGAGCCCGGCCCCGGTAGGGATCGTCGCTCAGAGGGTTGAAGTGGCCTGAGGGAACAGGTCAAGGGTCGCGAGCGACAGAGTCTCCGTGTTAACGTGAGCATTGCCGGGCAGGCCCCGAGCCATCTGGAAATTCCACATTCCTTTTGCAGGGGCGATCTGATCTTAATAGAACGGCCAACTTGAATTCACGCAAAGTGGTGCTCATTGTATTCACTGTAGAGGGATGTTGGGCTGATTCAACCCTTGACTGGGATACGAGTTGAATAACCAGCCACCTGGGCACCCAGCCACACATTCAGCAACATACCTGTCAACCCATACGGTTTACCCATATTTTTGTTCAGGGAAATTGAGTTTTCAAGTCCATACGGCATACAGCCGTTTCAATATGGGAAATTCTTTTTTTGTCTATTTGTTTGTCTTTCTCCCTTGTGATGGGACTTTGAAGGATGAACGTTGATATTTACAAGGGCACGCAGTGACCAATAAGGTCTGAATTGGTCTGTAATAATGTAGGGCACTGATAAGGGGTTGACAGGTATGCAACAACCCAGCCAGCCAGCAGCCCAGCGACTCGGGAGGAAAAAAGAAATGCAATTTGATTGCATATTAACTCTTCATGGGTGCAAGTTAATGTACAGTGTGGGTTGTCAAAGGCAGAGGGTGGGAGTGGGATTGTGGCGAGACAGATTTAGTATCCAGGGTCCACACGATGAAATATCGCCGCTAATCCGCGGCGCTGCGAAGGCCTGCTGGCACGACGAGAGTACTGGACTGCTGGTGGTACAGAGGGAAAGCACAGAGAGCGGGACAGCGACAGAGCGCAGACACACCGCGAGCCGAATGGACTGTGATGCTCGTTCCACAACGTGAAACATGCGGTATACAGCCCTTCATCAACCCACTGCTGGATGAGGGCCTCCCCACGCTGTGCAGTCGCGCTTTCACGATGTTTGAAAAGAATAACGCTCACCCGTGCACATCTCAGCCGGCTTCAGGACGTATCCACAGTTCCCATTGGCTGCAAATTTTGCTCGATTGAGCTGCATGGGCCGCCCCTCCGTCTGGTAGTTGAGAGAGACTGGAATGAAGGGGAAGCGCACGAGGTCACTCCCAAGGTCACGGACGTCCCTTGCGGTGTTTACCTGCCGTCACTGCAATCTCCACTTTCCAACAACTGACAGTGCCCTAAGTGGAACAGAATGTATACATGTATACACACGTACTTTATTTTTTTCAGCAGTGTTCTGCATCGGAATGATCGGCCAATTCCATTGTAAGGAGTGATATTGCATGTGCCCATAGAAATCCCGTGTACACGAGGGAATAACATTCAAATCTTCGCACAGGTGGATTCAAGAACTCGTTTACACTGTGCTACCTTCTTATGGACATCTCACAACGCACAGGGTTTTGGGAGTTTCACAAAACGCCACGTGATCCACCAACCCCTGCCTTCAAAGGTCAGCACGTCGCAGGCCACGCCGCCATGCTCGACAAGAGTGAACCTGGACGCGGCGATGGCGGCGCGCCGAGAGCCACGCCGGAGCCCACCCACCCATCTGAGTGCCCGCGTTCCAGAATGGCTCGGGGTCGTAGTTGCTGGAGGACATGCGGTGGGCTGAGGGGTAGACGCGGGCCAGGCGAGCGCTCGTGAACGCCGCCAGCTCCCGCGCGTGTTCCGACGCCAGCGCGGAGGCCTGCCGCTCCGCAAACGACGTCACGCTCCACCGGGGTGGCGGCCCTGAGGCGAGACAACGGCCGTTCGGCTCACTCGGTTGGCAAAGTACGGCGCCCCCGCCCCTCCGCCCACGAACCCGGGCACCCCTCCTCTGCACGTGTGCCCACACGTGCGTCTCTCACCGTGCGAGCCGACGTCGATGGCTCCTCGAGCCCGCGAGCACGCGGTGAGCTCGGAGAGGGCGCGCGACAGGCGCGGCGTGCGGGCCCGCGGGATGGGAGGCCCTGCGCGCGGGCTCGGCTCGCGCCGTGGCTCCCGTCGCGGCTCCCGCGGCTTGCACGGGGAGCTGCAGGGGAAGGGACTCGTTAACGGCGTCGGCAGCGACCGCACCGAGGAGCGGTCTTTTGCTTTGCCGTTCCTCAATCGGGGCAAACACACGTGCGCGCACACGTACGCTCGTGCGGTCACCATGCAAGTTGACGCACGAGCCCCCTCCCGCTCGCGTTCTCTGACCTGACAGTGTAGGCCACGGGGCGCTTGGTAGAACCCGGGAGTTTGTCCCCACGGTCGCTGCCGATTGCTTTCTCGCGGCAGTTCTGCGCCTACGGCCGACACAGTTTAACCGCGGGTTTGGAGCGCCGGGAGGTGCGTGTCAGATGAGAATGAGCGGCGGAGGCCACGCTGGTCGTGGTCGCCGTGGCGAGAGGCTTTGCTCACCTTGCGCCTCGGCAGGAGACCGAGGAGAGAGCGGCTTCGGCGCACCGTGGCACGCCCCTCGCGGTGCACCGCCACCTCGTCGGCACAGGGGCGCACGCCAGCCGCACCGCCACCCTGCCGTGGCACAGGGGAGGCACTGGAACAGCGTGGGGTGTGTGGCGAGTGTGTGGTGTGTGGGGTGCGTGGTGTGTGTGTATGGTGTGTGTAGGATGAGTGTGGTGTGGGCTGTGGCGAGTGTGTGGGGTGCGTGGTGTGTGTGTATGGTGTGTGTGGGATGTGTGTGGTGTGTGTGGGATGTGTGTGGTGTGGGCTGCGGCGAGTGTGTGGTGTGTGGGGTGCGTGGGGTGTGTTTGGGGTGTCGGCTATGGCAAACGAGTGGTGTGTGTGGTGGGTGTGGGGTGTGTAGGGGGTGTGTGTGGGGTGTGTGTGTGGAGTGTGTGTGTGGCGTGTGTGTGTGTGTGTGGTGTGTGTGTGTGTGTGATGTGTGGGGTGTGTGGGCTGTGGCCAGCGTGTGGGAAGACCCCAGCCTGGCTGCTGACAGCATATGGCCGGGGCCCGTCCCCCCGCTGCGGGAGTTCACCGCGTCTCGCGCACATCGTCACAAACTTCCCGCGTGCTCCTAGGGACATCTGCACTGTGAGTATAAATCACATTGCCCCCTTTGTTGGGTTGAGCACAAAGTGGCCACGGCCACCATGCACGGGGCACACCGACGACGCCCAACTTTATTCCTCTGCGCGGCCGCTTAACTTCAATCGCGTGCGGTGCAGTGCCACCTCACCTGGGCATGGTTTGCGCTCGTCTCGCTCTCCGACTCATCGTCGTCCACGCCCTGCGTTGTCACCGAGATCTTTTTACCCTGCGCTCCGAGTCGCACCCGCCAGGCCGTGCATCGTCACCACCATTGCTCACAACATCACCGCTACCATCGCCAACAACATCACCGCTACCATCGCCAACAACATCACCGCAACCATCGCCAACAACATCACCGCTACCATCGCCAACAACATCACCGCAACCATCGCCAACAACATCACCGCTACCATCGCCCACAACATCACCGCGACCATCGCCCACATCACCGCTACCATCGCCCACAACATCACCGCTACCATCGCCCACAACATCACCGCGACCATCGCCAACAACATCACCGCTACCATCGCCAACAACATCACCGCTACATGTCATTTACATACCTCACCTTCAGCAAAATCTTTCCCATGAGGCTCTGTGGCGAGGGCCACTGTGCATCAGCTGTTGGAAGGTCAGAGGGCAGCAGAAGCAGGTCTCCCAGAATGCTTTGCAAGTAATGGGCCATTTTGTCTTGTTGAGCCAAACTGCAGTGATTCTCCAGGGAGACGATGACCGGATATCTGAGAGTGAGAAATGGAATGTTTCACCGCTGTGCAGCCAGCAGTGGGGAAATTTCATGAGGAACATTTCCGGACTTTGTTCCATTGTAACAATGAGATGGGTCAATGGCGGTAGGAATTCGGAGAAACTGACCTTTAATTTTCATCATCCAATTACAACCAACAATTCCGTATGCTAAACAATAACACCGATCAAGTCTTGCCACCGACGCAGAGCGGCGAGAGCAGACAGCCTCTCTCAATTTACTGCTAGATAAGACCACTTCACGCCCTGCAAGTCACGGGGGTTGTTTGACCATACTTCACCACAGTGGTCAGCGCCGCTAGGTTCGTAGCGCTTAACACGGAACGCTGTGACGCTTGTCTCCCCGTTTCCATCGTTGCCCCCCAACCAAAACGCGACTGACTGCACATGAACAGGAATCCAAGATCCAGTTCACGTCCAGTGACCGCACTGCATAGAACGTATTTAATGACTAGGAAATGGGGTGAACGCAACCAAAAGGAGATACTTGTTCCACAATTTATCACCGTTTTCCTTTCCCACTAATACGCAACAACTTAATCTCGTAAACAATGTCACAGGGGTCCTTCACATTAATCATGTGGCCGTGGGATGACAGGCGGGAGCCGAGGGATTTGGATGACACCACAGCTGATGAGCCTGATCCTGCGATTAGAGAATCCGATGCCAACAGAGCACATTGACAGCGGTGAGTTGAACGCCCAGATTTTATCCTGTTACGGAAATCTTGCGTCCCATAAGAGGACTTTACAGGACTGACGCAAGCCGGCTGGTTTGTTTCAAAATAGATGCGAGACCACCACGTGACAAGACGGGGAATTCCGTCGGTGTTTGTTGCGCTCTGGCAACGTTCAACGGCTAGGAAACTCAAAAGGGGGAAGCCTCCTGAGCGAGGACTCTCCAGGGCGGCAGACGCCGGAGGCCTCTGCCAGCGATGGCACGGACTCCTCACGGCTCTGAAGCGTTATGCCTCCGCCCATTGGAATGTGCAGCCAGACATGGCCTCTGGGCTCTCTGCACCTTGTTCACGTAACCTGCCGACGTGCCCCTACTGCACGCTGTCGTCGTTCGATCCGAGCGGGACGGCCGCTCGCTGTGGCACCGGAGCTTGGAGCGCGGGGAGCGAGCGCTGCGGACGCACAGCTGGAGGGGGGGGGTGAGGCTGGAGGGGGGTGAGGCTGGAGGGGGGGGAGGGTGAGGCTGGAGGGGGTGGGGGTGAGGCTGGAGGGGGGTGAGGCTGGAGGGGGGGTGAGGCTGGAGGGGGGGGTGAGGCTGGAGGGGGGGGTGAGGCTGGAGGGGGGGGGGTGAGGCTGGAGGGGGGGGGTGAGGCTGGAGGGGGGGGGGGTGAGGCTGGAGGGGGGGGGGTGAGGCTGGAGGGGGGGGGGGTGGAGGGGGGGGGGGGTGGAGGGGTGGGGGGTGAGGCTGGAGGGGGGGGGTGAGGCTGGAGGGGGGGGGGTGAGGCTGGGGGGGGGGTGGGGCTGGAGGGGGGCGTTCACTCACGGGTTGTGGGTGAAGGAGTGGGCGCCGATACACCGCAGGACGTCCTGGAAGGGGATGCGCGTCGTGAGCGTGCGTCCGTGCGTGACCATTGGCTCGCCGTCCGGGCCGTCCCAGCTGTCGACTACGGAGGTCGTTTCAAAACGCGACAGGAGAGCGAGCGCACGGTCTGCTATGCCCGCTCCGCCAGACACATCTGTGACATTCTCTCCGCATCTTGCGCAGACCATTGACCGCACATAGAGACTTCACGTCAAAGTACAGAATGTTGATATTCCTCCGTTACAACGGCGTCACGCCAAAATCGGGCCAGCCAGATTGCACGTTCGAATTATTACAGACAAAACAGAACTATCTCCCCTATTGGCATCCCAGAAGAAGTGTCCATGCCATTCGGGTGCAGCTAGCACAGTGAACACCACCGAGTTGCACGCAGAGTGAAAGAAGCCTGCTTCCTTGGACAAGAAGTGAAAAGTTAATTTGTTTAACCCTGGTAAGAACTCAAGAAACCAAGATAAAACTCAATTGCAAGACTGACCTGGGTCACCAAAGTGACCAGCTCAATACAAACAAAATACATAATACAACAGGTTTTTTCTGGGTTAGATCACGTAAATATATAAATGTGTCGTTAAACCCACCACCACTCGACAGCCAACGAGTAAGGTTTGTAACGTAAACATAACGTGCCAATTCGTTACGAGTACAGCACAACGGTGTGATGGAGAGCAAATCCACAACATTTACAATCGGAGTACGACGTTTTGCCAGTAATTACAACTAGCTTCATCAGGCAGACAGCAGTCAGATTTGTGGAGAAGTCCTCCTCCTGTCTCAGTACCGCATTGAAGCAAATAGAAATGGGAACAAAAACAACTGTGTCACATGGGAATCTTGCACGAACATAAATCTATGTAAGATTCCCTGTCGCAGAAGTCTCCTGAGACAGATTATCTTTAGACTGATCATAATGTAATTATAATGAAGTTACTGAAACATTCAACAGATATAGGGTAACTGTTGCACGAATATGTAACCAGACGTGGATATACACGAGAGTCAAATGCACCCTGCAAGTGAAATTATCGTAAAGAATCGAAAGCTCGGCATCAAATCGCGGTTTTCATGGCAGAGTAAGCGGGGACGTTGTTTGTGGATTTCCACAGGGAGTGAGAGCCGTGCGAGCGTCTCGACCTCGGTAGAGAGGAATTGATATACCTATGCAATTTTCACTTCTATTTGTATTTATTTAAGTGACTTGCTTCACCTTTTCTCTATTTAGTACTCCTATAGTGTTGTGTGTTGTTGTTGTTGTGACTTGCTCATCGGATTCCTCCTCCAGTCTCAACAAAGACTCTGCGTTTCACAGCGATCCCGCGCGCCGTTCGGTACCTTCCACGCAGCGGCAGCCGGCGCGCAGCACGCTCGCGTACGAGTCGGCGCATGCCCGCGACGTCACCTGGTCGCCCGTCAGGTAGGTGTTGTGCGAGGAGGCGATGCAGTAGCGCGTCAGCGGCAGGCCCATGTCCTGGTGCACGGAGCCGTGGGCCGGGTCCACCGCGTCACCTGCGGGGCCGCACAGGTACGCGGTCAACCCTGCTCGCGCACACACAGTTTGCACCGCTAGCAAACACAACGGCGGCAAAGACGGCGCACGTAACCCCAACCCCTAACGCGGCGGGGAGGAGACCCTTATCATTGCCAACCATAATTACTCGTGTTCAAATGCAATTGTGCCGAACATCCATTCATAAAATGATATTACCAAAGTGATAACCTGTGGTACAAAAATAATCCAATACAATGTGGAAATAACAAGTGTGATCGGACTTTACAGGTAAATCACACAAGCGCTGTTTGCAAGCTGGGGGGTGTAAGCTGGGTTTTAGAGGATGCCGACCGATGTTCACAACAAATATAACCCGAGACTCCCACACACAGGTGTCGCCTCAGCTCAGCAAATACAACTCAGATTCACTCTGCAAGCGTGGCGTCTAACAGACTGGGAGCAAGTGCTGTTAGAGAACACCGATGCAGGCCAGCACAGTACACGAGGGGGGTGGGTGGCCAGCACCACACCAGGCCACTTTTGTCTCCCCAGTAATGATGTTAACACACTGCACCAGGTACTCAATTTGAGGCCGAGTCGACCGAAGGCAGGCCCAGGACCGGTTTGGATATTCGTCACCAATGCTGGCTGTGAGTGAGAATCGAACTCGGGTTTCCACACGCACGCACGCACACACACGCACCTTCTAAGCTCAGGCAGCCGTGCCGTCTGTTTTCCGCATTTGGCTCCATGCTGTCGATGATCTCCAAGCACATTGCCCTCGTTACGCCGGGAACCTGGGAAAAAAAAACTCTCCGGTGAAAACCGTTTGCGTAAACAAATCCGTGTGGCATTCACCACATTGAAACCAGCGAAGCGCATGGATAAACGTTCTAATTCAGCGCACGTGACCAGACCTTTTGTTCTTCCGTCATGAATCTGGCCAAATCACCGACGTTCCACAATGGTTTACGATCAAAATGTCCACTGGCGTCCGATTGCCACGGCTGCGTCTTGTGAACGTGTCTGTTCATCAGCATGAGGAGGTCGCGGCGTGACGACATCAGAGCGTAGAACGACGAGAATTCCACAAACGATAAAAACCCTCGATCGTTGTCCACATCCGTTGCCTGCGTGGCAAACAAAACACACGGGCGCACGCGTCACCGAGCGGAGTTGTCGACATCGTCCTTCCTCGCTATCTCCCGGATGTTGAGCGCCACTCGTGAACTGGGCACCGCACCGGGCACTCTGTGCCACGGGCATTTCTGCGCGGATCCTGGAAGCGCGAGAGGATTCTCAACATGTATGTATGTTGAACTTTGCAATCGTGATAATCGGAGGTGCACAGCATGCTTATATTGGGAGCAAATAATAAACTGATGAGACACGGGTAGTACATGGCCAGAAATTATGGAAAAAACCATGTGGTCGAGGTAAAGATCCACTTTGGGGGTGATCTGTATAAATATTTGTGTCACACCGTCACTCGTTTTGCTCACGTTTATCTTGAGTCCAACTTTGCAGCTTTATTAAAGTTCTTCAATCATTTCCTGTCGTTAATTTTCATCGTTGTAAAAATTACTGTGTCCTCAACAAATGTGGGATGGTTAATATGATTTGCATTTATGTTTATGCCTTTATTGCTCTAATCCAGTAAACATTAAATAATCTGTGAACGTTTTAGAGACTCAACTTTGGCCGCAACCCTTTGCTCGTGAGAAAAATTAGCGAGTTAAATAATCTTCGCCAGAGAAGATCTACCCACTGCTGTACAAAGGCTTCCCCAAGCCGTCAACATCTCCCATGGTATTGCAGACAGACAGAGGGAAAGGGAAGGGCGTTAGCGAGCGGGAGACTTCGAGGCGAAAGGGAGAGAGGCCGGCGGAGGCGAGGGTCGCACCTGGATGAGGTCGTGCAGGCGCTGCCGCGACAGCCGCAGATTCAGGCTGCTCAGCAGAGCGCGGATCTCGTCCAGCGCAAGGCGCCCGTCGCCGTTCCTGTCGGCCGCGGCAAACGTGCGCACCAGGAGCCTGGGAGAGTCACTTTAGGGAAGATCTCTCCCTAACCTCCGTCTCCCTGGCTCTCCCTCTCTCCAGCAAGCAACGCATCCAACTCTCACTCACCGCTCGCCACATTCACCTCTCATTCACCTCTCACCTCAATCACCTGACATTGACCTATGGCCACATTCAACTTGCCGCATCGTCCTACACAGTCCACGCAAACTATTCACGTGACATCGCACACTGTACATTCAACGTTTCACCGTACAGCCCATGGAGGCAGTGTTGTTAGCGAGCGCCTGGCAGGGTCGGCACGGCACACCCGGCCACCTGCATCCCAAGCGCTGACGTTTACACGCAACACCGGTTATTAATTAAAGTGTGTGTCAACCTAGGGGATAGGCACAGCACAGGTTTGGATCTCACTCGTCACAGATGCTACGCGCACACACACTGCACACCTCTTGGCTCACATACACAGACACACGTGCCGTCCGAGTGGGTCGGATACTGTTGATGGCAGTGCAACGTCGGCCCACTGCTTGGTGAGCCCAAATTCATCCCGGCCATGATCATGGTGAGGCCCACACGCCAGGCCAAGGCCTGCTCTCGGCAAGCGGTCATCAGAACCAGCGGTCCGTCGACGGCTCCGTAGAAAACGCTGAGCACGCACGTCGAGTCGGGCTGCCCGAAAGCGCCACGGCCGCCCACCGTGGCGTCCACCGGGCCGAGTGCGGCGTCCACCCCGGCACCACGGCCTCCGGGCGGAGGGGCCGAGAAGTCGTAGGGAGCGAATGTCGACACTTCTGGACGAAAGGCTCCGGACGGCGCTCCGACGGGCCAGCCCTGCCGCACCTCCCGTACGGCGTCGATGCAAACTGCGGGGGAAGAGCGACGCGCACGGACGGACGCGCACGGCGTCCCCGATTACGGCGACGCGCGCGTCACGCGCCCGGTTCAGAGTCGTGGTCGTGCGTGCAGCTCGAGCCTGTGGCACGCACTGGCGGCCTTGTGGCGCTTGCGTGAGGGGTGCCAGCAGATGCATCGTCGGCTCTCGTCGAGGTAGAACACGCGGGGTACGGGGTGCCAGGCCAGGCTGTGCCAGGCCACGGCACGAGAGCCGGGTCTGAGCTTGAGCATGGTGGAGCCGGCCTGCATGATGCTCACGCACCTCTCCACTGCACAACAACCCAACAGCACACCGCTTCGCATTGCCAACGCACTTCCCCACCACCAAACCCACCAAAACAACAGCATACATGTCCAGAAGCTACGCGCAAGGTACACAAACATGACATTTGTGTGGAAACGTTGGAACACAATGTCTGCCACTCACCATCTAAACGCATTTTGCAATTGTTTCAATAAACGGCGGTTGCCGCCTTTGAATTGAACAAATTATGGCCACACATCACACAGGAAAGTGGCGCATTTCAAACTCGTATATTGTTACAAATGTGGAGGTGTTTGGGCCTTGACCTTTAGACCAGAACAAGTGGAAGACAATTTAAAAAATGGCCAAGGAGACTCATCTGAAGCGTGTCCCTGTCCCGACTCACGGCGGAGGGGTTCATGCGAAGTCCGCACCGTAACCCAATGCAACGTGACTTTACGATGGGCAGAAGTGACATTTAATAAATGCTGGCACCGCAAACCACTCTCTGAACTGTCTCGTCAGTCTATGACGAGTGGAAAGTATGCAGGCATCGTCAGCCGTGATCTACCCACTGCTGGATGACGGCCTTTCTCCCGCAGCCCGTGACAGCCCCCCTCACGGTACCGCGATGCCACGGTCAGCCGGTACCCCCCCCCCCCCCCCCGTGGAGACTAACGCGGCAGCGGCAGCCAGAGGAGTCGCGGCCACTGCCCGGCCGAGCAGCCACGCGTTGTGGCGCCATCCGAGGCCCAGTTCCTGCCTGCCAGGGCCCGCGCCGCGATTCGTTTTGGACCAAACGAGAAATGTGGCCCGGGTTTGGGGAAATACCGAGCGCTGGGGGCCGTGGTGAGATCACGGAGACGGAGTGAATGCCGGACTAAGGCAGAGCGAGAGGGCCTCGTGGCTATAGAGTACGCAGGCCGTGCAACTGCGCCGTAATCCAGGCGCCGAGATGCGTAGAGGGAGACAGAGTTGGACAAGGTGGGTGGCCCCACTGAATGCGTGAGGAGGCCACAGGGCCGGCTCCGCTCCACCACTGGGACCTCCACGCAAACCCCTCCGCGGCCACGCTCCACGTCCGCCTGCAGCAACAGCAGCAGGGCAACTCTGCCCACACCCGGCGCGGTATCGCCGCAGCAGCAGCACCACTCACAGTTTCCCTCGAAGCATCCCATGTGAAGCAGGCGCTGGGGTGGGTGAGCACACAAGGGGGGCCCCGTGTGGCCATGCGCCGCCGTTCGGGTGGACCGCAGTCACCGCGCGGGGCCACGCGGGGGCGCTCGCGACCCCTCCCCCCTGGAGGCCACCGCCACCGCGCCCGCGTCTCCACGAGGCCCGAGAACGCCGCTCGGCACTTGGTGCTCTGGGCCACGCGCCTCTCAGAAACACCGCGATTACGAAGAGAAACAAATGAGAGCACTAGACCACCACCCCCTTGTGAAAACATTCACACTTCACTGTATAGCCACTGTTCATATTCCTCTAGAACAATGGTTGCATGCATAGCTGTGCAATACAGACCAACCTATTATTATCGCGTACTTTGTGAAGTTGAATTAAAAATGTTAATGCAAAACCTGGTTTTTCAGGTTTGGTGACATATTTAAAGTGGAGATAAATTGAGTTGGCTGGTTTGGCCGCCCTGTTTTCTCTACACTGTGACGCGTGATGAAATGTCACGGCATGGCTCTCGTGGGGACTCCCTCCCTCCCTCCCCGTGTGACCCAGAATGGGGCGACTTACGGGAAGGCACTCGAGCCACTTGCGGCTCTCCGCACCGCGCGAATCTCTCTCGGCGCTGCTGCCGAGTGACGGCTTCACTCCACGGTGGCACTGAGCTTCCTTGTCACCTCTGGGTGTCCTCTCAGACACCGCGATATCCATACAACTTGTTTTTACATTTCCAAAAATCCTTTACAAAGAAGAGCAGAGCCATGCGTTTCCACGAAATGACGCGCGTGTCGAATTTTATCCCATAAGCTGTAACAAACATCTGTATGCAGTGCATTTGTGTTGTTAAATGACTGCAAGTGACGGCATTTCAGCTTCCACAAGTGCCGCTGTGTGGACTACCGGTGTGTTTGTGAACATAGCACCAACTTCAATACGCATCAGCATACCTGGGAGAGCTGTGGGTGTACACGGAGCCTCTATTTCGTGCCGCACACCTTACTCGTCTCATGAGACACAGGCCAAGGCCCACATTATGACTTTAAAAAGAATGCCCACTTTTCACACTGAATCATCATCACTGTGTGTGTGTGTTTAATGTACGTCGCATCTCATTACATCGCGAGGTTCATTCAAACGGCTAGAGGTGAACAAGACGCTCACAGATCTATAAACCAAAGAACAATAACAACAAACCAATCAACGTATAAAAACACACTCAAATAAATACAATATAACAAAATTGGAGTTGAGTACCCACGTATTTTTATTTATGGAGCACAGTAAGGACGTGGGCAGACAGACAGATAGGAGGCCGTCTGCTATTTCTTTAAACAGATTTCTGCAGATTGTAGAGGCAGTCGCCCTTCTGTCACCATGCTGATTCAAATATTAATGGGGAAACAAGTGAAGGGAGTTCTCTTTGTGTGTGAGGATGATGTAGGCACGCATCCTCCTCCCAGTGTTGTTGTAGCCATCCCTGCGGCTACAAGCGTGTGGCTACATTCTGGGAAGGCTGCTGTTGATGCTGCTGTGTGTGGAGCATGCGTGATGTCTGCTGGGAGCCAGCACTTCCTCTCAGCTGATGTAAATGTAGAGCAATTATACAATGCACCATTAAAAAAATCATGAAAGCAAATTAAGGCGCGTATTTATTTGGGAGTAATACTTTATACTTTGAATAGTATTGTTTCTTCTCATTGCAATATTTGAAATGTCATAATCGGAATAGCATGTTTATATCTTATCGTTATCATCAACCATGATTAATTCACTGCGGAATGAAAGCGTGTACATCTCTGTATGGACCCCGTAGCGGTCACGGAGGGCCCTATTACAGTATAAGTAGTGATGGATGGCCAATAACAAGAGGCAGCCCAGGAATATTTTCTTGACAGATCACGCTCTGCTGATAAGACTCAAAAGTCAAAATGAGCACAGCGTGTGCCTGTTTAAAGAAAATACCTTCTGCAAGACATTCGTCCAGTGGGCACTCAGGCTGGTGGACGTGAATACGACTTGCGGGCTAAACACAGCCTCATCTCGTTAATGTGGATGCTAACGTTTGTGATGAATGCACGCACCATAAATGAGCGGTGACATCCCGTTAGGATGACGACGCGGTTCGTGGCGGTTTTCGTGATTACTGGATTTGAAATGCAGGTCGGGCCCGTACCGACCAGAGCCGCGCTCTGAATGCAGCTGCACTGAACAGTTGCTAACGTGACCGAGGCAAGAGTCAATAAGCACGCGACACAGCCCCCCCCCTGGAACATTCGACAGAGCGCTCGCATCGTAGTCAACAAAAGCCTCACACGCGGAGTCCGCCACTGCCAGGCTGCCGCGCGCTGCCCTGTGTGGGACGAATGCTAATGATGCACTGCTTGCAAATACCAACTCACAACTAGAGCCGCTGTGAGACAACACAGAGTGGATGCCGTTCTCTCGGCGCCTTCACTGCCCGAGCCGTGCGCACTTTGGGCTCACGGTAGGCTAAAGCGCGTCTCGAGAAACACACGAACGCGCACATTCTCTGTCCACTGCTGGATGAGGGCCTCCGCTAGGCCGGTTGGGTCATGAGGGTTTTGTGACCCCGGTGCGGGGAGCATAGACGTACAGTATGAAGTACAGCAGGAGCACAGAAGTGCAGTACAACAACGAATGTGGCTCCACTGCCCTCTGCTCGTCACCACTCAGCAGAGAGAGTTCCAGACCGCAAGAGCAAGCAGAGGAGTAGCGCATGAGAAGGGGGATCGACTCTCCACTGAGTGGAGATTTACCGGGATCTCGCCTCGGTTACGAGAGTGCGGCGTTCGAGGCGGGGAATAGGGCGAGACGGAAGGCTGGAGCAATGCAACATCCTACAAGCGGCGAGGAGATACGCTGATTTGATCCGAGATGGAGTTGGGGGGATGCAGTGGAGGGATCCGAGGCTTGGAGTGATGTCCTCTCACTCGTGGGTAGGGTGAGCAGCCTGGCGGTGGTATTCAGAATGAGAGGTTTGGAGAGGCCCTCGGGGTGATGGGCACAGTTGTCATCGCGCGGCCTGTACGATAGAGGCCGCGCCTACCGAGCACTGCGGCTGACTCGCCCTGGTTGTTGATGTCAATCACCAGCAGGAGGTGTAAGTGACCCCGTCTCCTGTGTGGATCACCTTGGGTAGGGTGAGGTGAACAACCTGCCGTGCCTGGGCCACTCCACGTGTGCACGGGGGTTCACTTCCTCGTGCTGTGCTCCAGGAGGTTGATCTGTTAATCGGGGTGACAGCTCCCACCCAAGGGGACTCGTCTCGTTTGTGAGCCCCGCCGGTCAGTCGCTTGCAGGATTAATTTGGCTGCTTTGAGCAGTTGGTACAGCTGAGAATAACCAAGATCCCAAATCACCATTCATTGAAGAGGAAGGAGCCAGTAGGAAGTAATAATTTCCATGAAAGAACACACCCGAGTTAGAGACATCCTCATGTTAGAGAACGGCCCACGGAATGGGATATTACAGAACTACTCTTTTAAATCCCTTCAAGTGACCGCAATACCACGCAGTAGGTGGCAGCACTCTCCCACGCGCCCTGCTGCAGAGTAATATCGTTGCATTGTAAATGTCATCTTTTACAAATCTCAGAGCAGCCAAATGCAGTGACAAGACACACGCGCACACGCGTGTTGGTCTCATGGATTCCTGTGCAGCTACAGTATTGGTGGCCGGGCCGAACCCGTGATCTCCCGACACACGAGGAGTCGCCAAGGTCACTGGGGGGGTGCTCCCGGGGTTAGAAGACAGAATTTCAGCGGTGCCAGCCCAGCCCTTAACCACCCGGCCACCTCGACTTTCGTATTTACATCTTTTAAGTAGACATCACGAAATCCATATTAAGATTACTGCTGTTATAATGATGACATTCGCCACCCACTTGTTGATGGTCGTTTGTTATTCATATACATTTAATTTAACTGTTGTTTAAATGTATCCAAATATTCTGTAACTATGTTTTTCAACATGTGTTTTAATTTCATCAATGTAGACACGTGTAAGGTTATTTAAAGTACAGTAATGCATATACAATGTGTCCACCAGGCAATAGGCAATGGTTGTGTCTCGAGATGAAGCGATATTAATCGTTTAAAGCCCGTGACAAGGAGCATGGGACCCGTGTACAGCTCCTGGCAGCGCCGTGACACAGCCCTATCACAGTGCATCCCCCTCTTTGTCTCATAGTTCTGTTGTATTTCAACACAATGTGAAAATAAATCTCCGAATAGGTTTAAAGGCCCGATTATTTATTTATTTAACAGCTTAGCTTGCTTAAACATGGTTTACTGCTGGTTCATCTATGGCCAACAGTGATACAATTATACGCAGGAGTTGTTGTTTTTAAGGTCGCACATTTTACTTGCGAGAGAGTTTCAGCTCTCCCGCACAACCCCTACTTAGGGAACAACTCCTGAGCGCTGTGCGCGCTACGGGGCATATGGTGCTGGGTGCAGGCCGCGTGCCCATTACGCACGCGCGGTGCTGCACAGCAGCTGCCGAGTGAGCGCCGGTCGCTCCTCCCAGGTCAGCGGGGCTCCGTGAACAATGCCTGCACATGTCCCCCCCCCAGCCTCCCTCCCCAGCCTACCCCCACTGCCCCACCGCCTCCCCCAGGGGAGCAGCCCCCCCGCCCCGGCTCACGCGCCGCGCGGGGCGCGTGCGAGCGGCGTGTATAGAGGCATGGGGAGGAGGAGGTGGTGGAGCAGATGCAGGGCCCCGCGTGCTTACACACGGCGCTCCGCCACTCCCCGCGCTCTGCTGCTGCCCCAGCAGATGCTCCTCGGCCATAACTCACGAGCAGAACGAGCCGTCACCACCACCATCACCATCCCCACCAACAACAGCGGCAGCAATAATGACGGGAGGGATCAGTCCGCGTTCAGAAGCCCAACTCAATGTTTTAGATTATTTAGATAACTTTGCTGCTATACATTTCCACATGATAAGCCACTTCGTTGAGCTATAATTTGTGGCCAGGTGGCTTCTGAAAAATAAGTTAATAGCTCAGTGGGCTTTACCTGCTAAGATAAAACATTTCTATACTTTAGTTTTATTTGTTTATTTTTGTTATTGGTTTGTTTACCTTTTCTATCATATTTTGTATTCTTTGTTGTTGCTATGTTCTGGCCTCCCCTTATTGGAAATCTGTGAAAAAAATAGCTTTATAGCTCATCGGATTCTTCCAGTATAAACACAGATTCTAATTGTGATATTGTGATGTTGCTATTGTACCGCTTGTTGGTCGTTCGGCGTGATGTCCGACGTTTCACTCCAAAGTGCTGCTGGAAGATATGTTCATACGGAAAACCCCGAAGCTCTGTGTGAGAGTCACATAGCACAACCGAGCAAACCCTATGCGCCTTCTTCTTTGGTTCTTTCGGTAAAGTCACGTAGAATGAGAAAAAAACACGATGAAATTCTCACGACGTTTCGGCCACAACGCAAGCGGCCGTCTTCAGGTGAAAGGTACAGAACTGTCGGGACGACAGAGCTTCAATGATTTAAATGATTTCATTGAAGCTCTGTAGCCGAAACGTCGTGAGAATTTTATTGTGATATTTTATTTTTTAATTCTCATTCTACGTGACTTTACCGAAAGAACCAAAGAAGATGAATCCTTGCAGTCACGAAAGCTTCAAATCGAAACCTATGCGCCTTGTTCGATGAAGGCGCTAAGGCCCGGTTCCTCTTCAGCTGAGTGGACGTCGCGCTCGGCACGAACACTGACTGACGCGGCCTCTCAAGGGCGAACCGGAGTCTTGAGACTCTCCGCATTACCTGCAGGGCACGCGTGGTCGGTGTTGGATCACGCAACTCACGACTCCAGTTCTGGTGCTGCTCGTAGCAGAACTCGGTCATGGAGTCTCTCACAGGGATGTGAAGGATACTTCTAGGAGCCCTTCCATATGTCGCTGAAGCAGCAATGGCTGGGCATTGTCAGATACAAGAGTCTATGGCAAAACCTGGCATTGGACTTTAACAAAGTATGTATGTTGAACTTCTTTCACACCGTACGTAAACAAAAACAGTTTTACAGAAATTAAGTTTTCGAACTTGCTGCCTGTACTGAAAAAACGCATTGGGCTATCGGCAATAAGAACGTTTCTGGCAATTTCTGGAATATTCAGGGAATGGCGAGGCGCGGATGTGACTCTTGAATCTAGATCGTGATAGCTCTAGGAATCACCAATCGTGGTATCGCGGGTATTTACTCCGTAGGTATGATCCTTCACTCTGTTGCATTACTCGTAATTGCTGAGACGTGCCTGCAGGAGGTGCGAGCGATCGTGGCAGCAGACGCACACTTTCATGGCATCCACTGCGTCCAGAAGATGCCACGTGTTGTGCTTCGTGGTTGCAGTGAACTGAGGGTGGACGTTGGTGCGAGGGAGGGAGGGAGATCGAGCGAGGATCCGAGTCGCGGGAAGCAGCAACGATGCCACTCTGCTGGTACCACCGCATGCAGCAAAAACAAAACAAGGCCTGGGCTGACCCCGTGATGCCATGGGGATGAGACGGAGCGAGGGGGGAGGAGCCAGGAGGGAGGTGCCATGAACCAGGCTCTGCTGCCTGCAATGGGAGGGGCGATGGTGGTGATGATGGTGGTGGTTGATGGTGGTGGTGATGATGGTGATTGTGGTGGTGGTGATGATGATGTGCGACGTGGGGACAGGGATGATGCCTTCCACACGCCTGCCATTCACGGCTTTGTGAGCACCTCAATAGGCGCGGGGCGGGGCAGGGTGGGGGTTGTGTTTGTGTGGTGTAGGGGGGTGGGGGTTGTGTTTGTGTGGTGTGTGCTGTCCACACGCTCGCCATTCAGCGTCTCACGGCGTGCCCCTGGGCCAGGAGGGGAAGTGTGTTTGTGTTTGTGCTGCTCGAGAAGGGGGAGGGTGGGGTTGGAGTGGAGGCATGGGCTGATGCCGTGCGCACGCCTCATAGTTCACCCATTGTCGTCCCGCGGCCTGCAGCAAGAGGTGGGACGGCGGGCGGTGGGTGGGTGTTATTTTGATGGGGGATTGGGGACTGTCTGTTGCCATTCACTAATCTGTTATTTGGCCTGGAGGCTGGAGGAGAGGCGGGGTGGTGCAGCAGCAGGAGGAGGGAGGGGGCGACGCAAGTGTGTTTCGCAGGGCCGGGTATCTGTGTGTGTCTGTGGGTGTCTGTGTGTGTCTGTGGGTGTCTGTGTGTGTCTGTGGGTGTCTGTAGCCACGCGACTGCTGGGCCGGGGTGGGTGGGTGGGGGGCTCCCTCTCGTCTGGTTCGCTCCGGAGTCCTGTGCGGTGACAATTGCTCCTTATCACAAATCACGGCGCACTGCCGCCAAATCTGTTTATGTTTATATTTTTTCTCATTTGTAAAACATAACACAAAAAAACATTGCGTAGACAAAGAGGAACGTGGCGTTTAAAGAACACGAAGTTGTGTTTTGAGTTAACGCTGCGCCCGCCGCTCTGCGCGTGTCGAGTGTGCCCTGGTGAAGTTTTTTTTAATAATTGCGGTGCCGAGTCCCCGGCGAGAGTCGCCCGCACGCGTTTCGTCTCCCCTTGCGACACAGTTCCCAGCTCGTACGTTTCAGTAGCAATCTTTTATCATAAAATCACACAACTCCCAAACCACTAAGTTAAAATTAGTTACAGTCTGAACAAAAAGCACTGACCAAAGGTGGAAATCACGAGAAGACCCCAGCACAGCTGAGTGCATGCTGGCATAACCACATTCTAATAGGCGTTTCGTTTTAAATCCATCCGTGGAAATCAAACGATGTCCCTTACCGTTGCGCAGTGAACTTGTTAAACATTTCACGACGGTGCGCCATTTAACCTGTGGCGCAGCTGGAGTTAAGATGCTCTAAGCGATTGGGCAAATCTCTACAAACCACGTGGATTTTCCTTATTTAAATTCTCGACAAACTACGTGGACTTTCATTATTTAAATTATCTGCAGACCACGTGGACTTTCCTTATTTCAATGTTCTGCAGATGACGTGGATTTTCCTTATTTCAATGCTCTACAAACCACGTGGACTTTCGTAATTTCAATTTTCTACAAACCACGTGGATTTTCATTATTTCAATTCTCTACAGACCACGTTGACTTTCATTATTTCAATTATTTGTAAACCACGTGGACTTTCATTATTTCAATTCTGAACAAACCACGTGGGCTCTCATTATTTCCACACACGCCGTCGCCAGCCCAACAACTCTGCATCATTGCCCCGAGCTGTCGCGGTGGAACCACCCACTGGGCCGCCCAGTACCGGCATTGGTTGTTTACGTTATAGGTCTTTGCATTGTTTGAAGGGTAGCACATGCGGCCTGTCTGAGGGCATGTTTATGTCCACCCATGTGCGTGTGTGCGCTCGTGTGTGTGCGTGAGCGTGTCCGTACCGCGGTGAGGGCAGTTGGGCAGCCCTTGTTTTGCGGGTGTATGGAAGCCTTTGTGTAAGGCTGCACGCGTTATGCTAATCTCGGGTCTGAAGACTCGCTGCCTGGGCTCGGTATTGTTGTGATCATGACCCTGCGACAAAGCCCCTTTATGTGCCGGGGCAGGGCTGGTCAGCTGGTCCCCCTCCAGTGGAAAGAGCGGCCCAGCAATTAGTACTGTGCTTGGGCAGATGGTAAAGGAAGCTTCCACTGCTTCAGGAACGGCTCAAAAACAAGCAGCGACTTCAACAATAACCTACCCCAAAAGTCAGACAAAGGAACTTTCCCCAGCAACCGGTTTCAAAATTATATTTGTGTTGTACATGATTCGTACACGTACATGAAACGTGAGACTGGGTTGTTTGAAGTTGCTCTGTAACTTCAGATGTCGGTGGAAATGCACTCACAAGTGTCACTAATCTTGCTCCGGGGAAGAATAAAACTGGCACTGGAAAAAAAAAACAAGAAAAATATCCCCCGTATAGCCTTACCAGACTGTTGGGGCAAGTGCTATTAGCGAGCACCTATGAAGGCACCACGCCCGTCCGCCTTTGTCACCCCAGTGGCGATGTTTACACATCGCACCAGGTACTCATTTGAGGCCGAGTCAACCTAGAGGAGGCCCAGGACCGGTTCAGATAATCGTCACTGGTGTTGGCTGTGATCGGGAATTGAACTCTGGTCGCCGGGTTCGAAGCACAGCACCCTAATCGCTACACTGCCGCTCCCCACTACACACGCCACCGCACACACACCACCGCACACACACAACCGCACACACACCACAGCACACACACCACCGCACACAAATCACTGCACACACACAACCGCACACACACAACCGCACACAAACCACCGCACACAAACCACCGCACACACACCACCGCACACAAACCACCGCACACAAACCACCGCACACACACAACCGCACACACACCACCGCACACAAACCACCGCACACACACACAACCGCACACACACCACCGCACACAAACCACGGCACACACACAACCGCACACACACAACCACACACACACCACCGCACACACACCACCGCACACACACCACCGCACACACACCACCGCACACACACCACCGCACACAAACCACCGCACACACACCACCGCACACACACCACCGCACACAATCCACCGCACACAATCCACCGCACACAAACCACCGCACACACACCATCGCACACACACCACCGCACACACACAACCGCAGCATCATGAGGACAACACAATGAGAGACGGACGCGGCGTCCCAAAGTGATCGCCTGCGGGGTGCTGCACTCGTCGCGCTGGACGCCGCAGGACGATGTCAGCATCAGAGTGAGTGGCTCCTCTCCACACTTTTGCTCAACTCCAGTCCTCACCACTACGTGCATGCAAAATAACGCCACTGCCACACTGAAAGCATCTGATGGGTGGTTATCACGGAAAGCTGTACGCTCGGGGGTTGAGAGGGCCGGAGTTGAAAATCACTCCCCCCAAGACTGCTCTCTCCTGTTGTGTCTCCAGGCACTCCAGGCACAAAGAGGTCCAGGCGCGGATGAGGTTTGCGAGTGGCGAGAGCTCTTCGTCGGACTAGATTCTGTGTGCGCATCACAGCGCCGGGAAGGTGTTGAACGCGAAGACGGGATGGACGCCACATCCACCTGTAATGACAATCACCAGATTGCGAAGGATGGCCATGGCTTGGGGAGGCCTTCATCTGGCAGTGGAGAGATCATGGCTGACGATGGATATTCACCTTAATCGACCCCCCATTAGGGTCTCAGTGTCCAGCCTCGGTGACAAATGTTGAAAGATGCCAGCCGAGTTCCTCGCTGACAAAGTTGCATCATCCGCACACTCCGCGTCTCTCGGTCGCAGTAACCCACTGGGAGCTCTGGGTGTTTCCCCATCTCTACGCTGTCCATGGTGCTAGAAAACACGTGCTAAACAGCACCATCGTGCCGTTTGACAAACACAGCCCGGCTCAACAGCGGCTCACCCCTCGCACCAAACTGCCGGCGAATCTCCTCCAGTCGCACACAAACCCGAGCCACGTCTAACAGCTCCTATTACCCTCGGTGTCAGATGTGAACATTTCGTTCCCTCATTAAAGTCTCAGAATTGTTTTGTTGGAACCCTCCACCACCCGACAAGATTGGCACGTTTACAAAGATGTTAATATTTACACACGCGCCAATGTATTGATCACCTTCTGGCGGTGGCTAAAAACTTCTCACGGCTAAAGTCAACGTCAACGGACATCGACGTTTCGCTCCAACTGCTGTGAGCTTCATCAGAATGTGAGCTCGGGAATCTCTCGCTACGTCATATTTGAGGCTGGAGTTTGGCGTGCAGTGCGTTGCATGTCGACCACTCGTCGCCACGCTCCCGTGAGGATGAACGTGCCACGCGCGTGCCACCCTTGCGCACCACGCTTTTAAAACACAACAAAGGGCATCGCTCGCACACGTTTCTCAAAACAAGTGGAAGCGCAAAGCACGCAGAACCTCCAGGGACAAGCAGCCCACAATGTGATCTCAGCAACACTTTCCCACTGCCGTGTGTTTTTTTCGTGACTGTATTGATGCTAAGATTATAAACGCCATGCCGCTGTGTGCGTGTTAATGGCCTGGTTAAGCGACGTGAAGTCACTGGGCCCCTTCGTGATGGTTTCGTAAATCACGCGGCTGTGTCCCGCCCGTAACGCAGCGCGGAATCGCCGCTCGATGAGACGGGAGCTGTGCTCCGCTTCCTAATCGCATCTCGTGCAACAAGTGCCCCTTCTGCCAGGTCTGTACAGCAGATGTGTCCTCCTCCCCCACGGGACCTCTCTCCCTCTCCACCAGTGTCCTCCCGGCACCACGTGGCTCAGCCATTGAGCAGCGGCTCTGGTGCAGCTCTAAAGTGAATCCGATTCGTCGTTCCCCTCCTCACTGGAGGAGCTTCCATTTGCCACTCCGCTTACCTTGGCTTTGTGGCTGGCGGGCGGCGAGGACGGTCACCGGTCATTCTCGACACACTTCTACACGAAGGCATCTCTCTGAATGCGCCCACCGGAATCTCCACCGATTGACCGCGCCGCAGCACGCGGGGTACGCATCGCGCCGTTGCCAGTGCAGCGAGGGAAAGCGGCCCGAGGCTGCCATCATTATCGGATGGAATGTGCAGCAGGGGACAGTTGTGCGATGAATTCCTTGGTCGCCATTCGGCTTTGGGATTAGCGCCACGAGTCCCCGCGCGGCGCAGTAGCCCAGCGCGCTGTCCGCGGGCTTCCGGTCAACTTCCCTGGCCGTTGTGAAAGAAAAAAAAACAACTTCATAAACGAACCCCACGAGTTCGTTTTGGCAAAGATGGGCTTGATCCTAAACAGACGTTTGCAGCTATATGCTAGTTGGTTAATGGATTATTTGATTGTATGCATAATTGATTGCGGCGGCAATTGTTGAGGCGAGCAGCGGGCCAGGGGCAGCTGGAGACTGCGGGCTGGGGCGCACGTCGAACCGCATAGCCACTGACCCATGGCCGTATTGCCCCCAGCAGAGATGTAATCTTACCAGCCGGCACAGACGGCACACGCCAGCCCATTATCCCCAGCCATACATACCCTTAGATAAAGCCCTGCTCCCCCCACCGGCCCTGCCACGCCATCTGCCAGCGCGTCTGCCCGCCCGCCCGCTCGCCCGCCCGCATTCCCCCGCCTGTCGCGGGCGGTGAGCCGCCTCGCCACATGGCTCCCAACAGTAGACAGGGCGCATGCTGCTGCTGCTGCACGGAGCGCGTGCTGCGTGCCTCGACGGCCCCTCGCCCCGACGGGCAGAGCTCGCTCCGACATTGTCCGGCGACGCAACACAGATTTAATCTCATTAGGGCTTCTTAGCGCGGGGTTTTTTTTTTACATGAGCTGCATTTGGGAGAATGAATGTCTCACGAGTAATCAGATATGCATAATTAATTAATTAGCATCCTGGTTCAGTCGACGTCACCTCCTGCATGCGATGTGGTGGGTGGGTTAGGTCGATTGGAGTTTAATGTTAATATGAGGTCCAGGCGTACTCTCGCATTTTTCAGATTGTGCTTGAATTCGGGCCATGCCCTGGCTTCAGTCGACTTATACTCATCATCACCTCGTCTGCCATGATCTATCCACGACTGGGTGAAGGCCTCCCAAAGACCTCACTATCTTTCACGACAACTTGTTTCCATCTCAATCTCTCCGGCCCCTCCACGTGAGCTCATCTCATCGTCCTCTCAGGCGTGTTCGCTCCCTCTGGCTGCCGCTCTGTAATTAGTCTCGGCCACCCGTCATCGCCCCTTCGAGTGACGTGCCCCCTGCCCAAGCCCCACTCACCGCTCTGAACAGTCAACATGAAGTGTCTCTACCTTGCGTCTGTTCTCTGATGCACACGTTTCTCAAAACAAGTGAAGGCGCAAAGCACGCATGAATCTCCAGGGACAAGCAGCCCACAATGTGATCTCAGCAACACTTTCCCACTGCCGTGTGTTTTTTTCGTGACTGTATTGAGCCCTCTGCCTCGTGGAGTCATGTCGAGCGTGCGCCTCTCCACCCACGATTCTTTGCGCACTCTTCCCGTGTTGTTCCATCTATTAAACTATCAACTACGTTTTATTTATTTTACCAGGCAAGGCCTACTGGGCTATGCAGCAGCTTTTTCAGACGCGACCTCTGAGCGCGTGATGTTGATGATAAATGTGGAGGGGAAAACCGTAGGACCCGAAGAAACCTACACAGCAGCAGGCGTCAGGGTCGATATCGAACCCACGACCTCCTGTATAGCAGGCGAGGTAGTTAACATCTCTTATTGGACAGTGTCCGTGTTTCTGATTCGTATGTCGTATAGTTGGTCACGTGCACTCATTCCAATCATTCTTCTTTCGCCACCTCTGAGTTTTATTCCGACGTTCTGTTTTGCAAAACCACCCCAACAACTTGCTGGCACAAGTTCGATTCCAGTGTGTGCCCTCAACACATGGCCGAGGTGCGCACAACACTCTGACGTTGTGCGTTCCTGTTGTGTCTCTCCAACACACCTAGACGATTGTTTGGCGATCTGATGTAGCCGCTCTCAGTTCGGGGGCCTGCTTCACCTGTGGGTTCAACAGAAGCGTGACCAGATATTTAAGTGGGGGGGGGGGGGGGGCAGTGGTGAAGCGCACTACATTGTGAATCCTCCCACCCGTGAACCGGACAACCTGAGTTCAATTCGCGACTTTGGCTAACATCAGGGGCACGTGATATACAGTCCTGGCTTCCCCTACGCTTCATCAACCCGCATTGACCAGTGTAGTGAAGTATGGTCAAACAACTCCCACGAACGACACGGCATGGGGAGGTCTGCATCTAGATAGACATCGACCAGTCCCCCTGTGCCCCCGTCATGGTAAACACACGGGGGGCGGGGCAGGCGCATGGCCCTAGACATCACTCATCGCCCTCCCACAACCTCGCGCCGTGGCGCTCCCTCGCCTCGTCTAGCTGGAGAAGTTTCCGCTCTATCCGAAGCGCAACGCCTCCTGGACGGATTTAGTAAATGTGGCAACTGGCTGTGGTTTCTCGAAATAGGCCACAATTCCACTAAAACAGAGTGGAATGATGACCCAAACCGGGCACAATGATGGCTACAACTTAGGTAAAGCATAAAAACAAAGACAAAAATCCCCCTATAGGCTGAACAGCTTTTGAGGCAAGTGCTGTTAGCGAGCACCTATGAAGGCCGGCACGGCACACGAGGGGGTGGATGGTCAATACTACGCCCGGCCGCCTTTGTCTCCCCAATAGCGATGTTTACACACCGCACTAGGTACTCATTTGAGTTTGAGTCGACCTAGGGGAGGCCGATGACCGGTTCAGATAATTTAATCGTCGCTGGTGTTGGCCGTAAGCGGGAATCGAACTCGGCGTGCCGAGTTCATAGCGCAGCGTCGCGCGAGCCGCTCCACCGCCTCTGGAGTGTGTTCACTTGCACCCAGAGCCGCGACGCGGTGAGGAGCTATCTCTGCTGATGGGAACTCACTCCCGTGACGAGGACACCGCCGCTCTGTCCACGGGACACCACTGAGCGCTCTTCTCATCTCGTCGTGTGAGGCGACTTTGACCGCCAGCGGCACGCGGAGCCGCGATGGACATGGAGCACTGCTTGTACATTATTAACATTATTATAATCATCGTTATTCCGAATGTGACACGACAAATGGATGTCAATCACCATTGTCCCTGGCCTCTTACAAGAAGGCGAGGGGCACGCTGAGCTGACGTGAAGGGAGTTGCCAGATACAGGTTTAAGAGGCGGAGTGAGAGACACGTGGCATGTTCTTGTCACTAAAGTTACTCGCAGGACATCATGAGGACTGAAAAACAGAATGTCAAGCTGTTTTTATATCCGACCCTAAATTAATAATAATCATAAACATTCCATGGATTTACTCGGAAATATAAATAAAATAACAATTTTCGGAATCTTAAGGGGAGGGGTTGGTAGCTCCCCCCTCCCCTGGATCCACCACTGGATCCCCCCCCCCCACACCACGTTTTGTCGTTGTCCGTGTGGGGCTGTGTGAGGCTGTGTGAGGCTGTGTGTGTGAGGCTGTGTAGGGCTGTGTGTGTGGGGCTGTGTGAGGCTGTGTGTGAGGCTGTGTGAGGCTGTGTGTGTGAGGCTGTGTGTGTGGGGCTGTGTGAGGCTGTGTGTGGGGGGCTGTGTGTGTGGGGCTGTGTGAGGCTGTGTGTGTGGGGCTGTGTGAGGCTGTGTGTGTGGGGCTGTGTGAGGCTGTGTGAGGCTGTGTGTGTGGGGCTGTGTAGGGCTGTGTGTGTGGGGCTGTGTGAGGCTGTGTGTGTGAGGCTGTGTGTGTGGGGCTGTGTGAGGCTGTGTGTGTGGGGCTGTGTGTGTGGGGCTGTGTGGGGCTGTGTGTGTGGGGCTGTGTGAGGCTGTGTGTGTGGGGCTGTGTGTGTGGGGCTGTGTGGGGCTGTGTGTGTGTGGGGCTGTGTGGGGCTGTGTGAGGCTGTGTGTGTGAGGCTGTGTGTGTGCGGCTGAGTGTGAGGCTGTGTGTGTGGGGCTGTGTGTGTGGGGCTGTGTGAGGCTGTGTGTGTGGGGCTGTGTGGGGCTGTGTGAGGCTGTGTGTGTGGGGCTGTGTGTGTGGGGCTGTGTGGGGCTGTGTGTGTGGGGCTGTGTGTGTGGGGCTGTGTGTGTGAGGCTGTGTGTGTGGGGCTGAGTGTGAGGCTGTGTGTGTGGGGCTGTGTGTGTGGGGCTGTGTGAGGCTGTGTGTGTGGGGCTGTGTGAGGCTGTGTGTGTGGGGCTGTGTGTGTGGGGCTGTGTGGGGCTGTGTGTGTGGGGCTGTGTGGGGCTGTGTGAGGCTGTGTGTGTGAGGCTGTGTGTGTGGGGCTGAGTGTGAGGCTGTGTGTGTGGGGCTGTGTGTGTGGGGCTGTGTGAGGCTGTGTGTGTGGGGCTGTGTGGGGCTGTGTGAGGCTGTGTGTGTGGGCTGTGTGTGTGGGGCTGTGTGGGGCTGTGTGTGTGGGGCTGTGTGGGGCTGTGTGAGGCTGTGTGTGTGAGGCTGTGTGTGTGGGGCTGAGTGTGAGGCTGTGTGTGTGGGGCTGTGTGGGGCTGTGTGAGGCTGTGTGTGTGGGGCTGTGTGGGGCTGTGTGTGGGGGGCTGTGTGGGGCTGTGTGTGCGGGGCTGTGTGGGACTGTGTGT